TTGGTATGGCTGGATTTTCTTGCAGGGCCGGCGGGGGCTCGCGAGTCGCTCTGCGGACTGAGTCTTGACTGTCCATGTGGAAAAAAGTCTCGCCGCCAAACGCGGCATGCGATGAATGCAAAGATCTCTCGTGAAGACCGCGCGATTCGTCGAGTTCGCCCCATTCCACAATTCAGTCGCATTGAATTGTTTGTGTCGCTCCGAGCTCTCCTCGAGGCTCATTTTTCTCGAGGGGGAGGGAGCTCAGCTGGCTGGGCTCTCTGCGTGAGCCCGCATCCACGGACCAGGCCCCGAGATAGCGGATGCCCGTCGGCGAGTTAGTTCCGAATATCATTGGGCACCGGCTCCCGTTGACGCCTGACGTCTTGATCCGAGCGAAACAAATTTCGGCACGGAATCGAGCGTAGTCATAATAGGCTCGTCTCCCGAGTATGACGGTTTCCACTCCATTTCCCCCTCAACTCGAGAACCTGCTCCCTCTGGGATCAATTCAGGGACGAATCGAGTCGACGAGGCCAAGTAAGGATTTTCTTAGCTCAGTTCGACAGTTCATCCGGAACGCTTCGAGGTCAGCACAAACAGTCACGCCCAGAAAGCGGTGGCTCCGAGCTTCATCAATTTCGATGGTCGACGGCGACTGTGAATCGAGGCCGCGAAAGGAAGAGAAAACACGGAGAAGAAAATTAGAAACCTTCCTCACAAAAAGCGCTCGCCCCCTAAGCGCTGGCAGGAGCTTCGGCAAAAGCCTGAATATCGCTCGCAGGAAACTCTGAATGAAGAGGAAAATCCATAACAATGGGCCCCAGAAGAGCAAGGCAAGCGGGATGGAGAGTGCTTTGCATTATAACTGGGCGTCGAAGCGAAAGTCAATTGGCAGAGCTCGCGTTGACCGATCTGCGAACAGATACAGCGAAAAAGTTCAAGGGAGAAAATCCCAAGCAAGCAAAACGGAATCTCCTCCGGCTTCACCAGGTACGACGGCACAATCAAGAAATATTAGGGGGACCATCAGCGGAGAAGATTGTCGGCATAAATTACTTAGGACGAAGAACATGGCACGGTACGGGGGATCTGACGTTGGAGGAAGCCTCGGTGCATTGTCTCGCCGCTGTGGTCATCCTGGACTCAGTGGACCAACCGGGCGGGCGTGGTCGTCTCGTGTCAGAGAGGAGAGAATTTATTAGGGGGCGAGCGGCACAAAAACGAGGAGACCTTCAGAGACCGGCGAGAGATTTCTTCCTCCTCCACGAAGAAACGAGTATGCGTTGAGGTCCGCTGAGGGTCAGAAGAGCTCCTCATGGATGATAGCTCCCTCCGCCGACCCTTCTGGAATCGTACGCCGCCTTTTCCTCTACCGGTACAGGCGGACGGAACCACCGCAAGCCACTCGACGATTGATTGCGCATGAGAAGCGCAGCGGGTAACGACTGCACTTCAGCGGCCGTAGTGGTCGGTTTTTCGGTCTTCTTTTGAATTCGTCGCCGCACCCCGACGGTTGGTTTACGTTAGGGAGCCTCTATCGCGAAAGAACTTAGAAACTGACTCGCACAGGCAGGCGGGCGGAACTCGATTGCGAGCCCGTCAATCAAGGAGCCTCGGTGTCACAGGCAAAATAGGAAGCAGCTCCGTCAGCGTGTCAGAGCTAACGCTTGCCGCGACACAGGATTATTTTGCTCTGGGGCCAACGCGCGTTTCGAGGGACCCAGTTGACCGAAATGATCACGCGACTCCTCCAGGTCCTAACTCCAGCATTATTACGACCGAAAAATTTTCAGGAGGTGCATGGCCCCCTCAAAACCCTTCCCTCGCGTGTGCGCGGCTTTGAACGTAGCGTTCAGGATGATGACGCTCCCATCAAGACCAGGTTATAACTCGTCGAGAGTTAGTTTGCGTCCGGGACCTCGGAGATGCGTCGCCACCAGAAGTGGTGCTTGCGTCCTGGGTCACTCGGTAGTTTGGCCGAAAAGCTTTCATCAGCCAACCGGAGTTGACTGGCCGACTGACTGACCGACGAACCGGCTTGGCCAAGCGAGCGGCCTGTCGTCTGTATGACGTTTGCTGAGCTGACGGCCAGAAGCACGCGGGCCGAAAAGGCTCAAAGCCCAACCTAATGGCGTATGGCACGTTTCTGTGCCCTAGGAAGACCAACACCAAACATAATCCGTTGCCGACAGGGCAGAGCCTCTGACTGGCTTTATTATTATTTTTATTATTATCATCATCTCCCGCTTCGTGGGAAACGTCGGCGTGATAATTCCCGGGGTGAGCGATACTGGGGACATCTTCCGTCGGGAGCGGGGGGATGGAAGCTTTCTGCGGCCCAAGAAAATGTGACTCTTTTCGCTCCCGAGGATCGGGCAGCGTACAACACCGATAGGAGGGATTACGTCTGGAACGAAACACTAACAACAGCGACGGGACCAATAGCGGCAGCGGCAACAATGGCACAAAGGCTACAGCTATATGGAGACGAACGGGAAGAGAACGAAAAACGAATCTGTTGTGCCTGCCTGCCGACCCACTCCTGCTCCCGGAATGAGATCTCCCATCGAACGAACCCCAACTTCTTAGCAATCAGCCAAGCCAGCAGGCCTTTTCGACCCATCCGAGCTTCTCCTCCGCGGGCGTACGCTTTGATCATCGCTATCATCACTTACTCGTCTTGCTCAACACTGACTCGAGACCGAGGCGACTCAGGAACGAGACCAGCAGTCGCGGCGACCGTCGTCTCCTTCTCAGCCACGGGCCGTGCTGCTGCCGGCGGTAATAGTGCTGGAACTATTAGGGGTAGAGGCGGCCGGCGCCGACGGCAGTCCACGCTGAGCACGAGAGTCTCTTAACGAATGATTATTACGCCGGTAATTGTTATACGGTAATGACGTCATGTTGCCGATCTATCGAAGCCATACCTCGATATCCAGGACTGGCTCAAACTAATCATTTAGGGAGCCAGGTGACGATCGCGGGGATCCTGTCTGGACGACGGTACGTTTCGTCTTGCAACCGCAACCACCTGGGAACTATTATTTGTCTGTGTGCTCAAGCTCGTTCGCGAGCTCTGAGCGAACGGCATCGGCTAAATTCAATTACAAGCAGACACCGCGAAGTGGCTTGTCTGGGGCCTCGGGGCAAGGTTTTCCTTTGACAGAGGTCGGGGAAAGCTTGCATAACTTGTGAACGAAAGGCTTCACTCGATAAAAGCCGTCACGCTCCTTAATTCCGTGCTAAGTCGTTATAGCCATGTCGTCGCCGAAGCACACGTGAGGCGGAGCCTATGTCGACTCCGAGTCGAATGAATGGATCGTCTTATGGCGAATCGGTCAGCTTTCCGGGGGTTAAAGATTTTTCGACCGTTACCGAATCAACGCCATTCCTCTCATATGAAACGCTTGAACACTGCAGAAGAGCGATAAGTGCGATGTCCAGAAGCTCGAGCTTTCCTTCTGAGCTGTTCGCATACGGAGGAAACATCGAAAACCAAGAAGCTTATAACTCGGAAAGTCGACGGCCGCATAATCTGTCCACCACAAGTAGCATCGGTCTTTTTTTTGCTGGACTCGCGATCGGATCCATGAACCTGTGTCCACTTTGGTGTCATCGAGAGATTCGACGCTCTTGACGTGCTCACAAAGTCGCCCCTATGATGGAGTCGCTGGGAGAGAGTAAACAGCGGGCGCGGGATGCGTGCGGAGCATCATTGACAAGCGGAGCGTCTCTCGAGGCGCGGAGAAGGGTCATGAATCCTCTGGCGAAATCAGTGTTGTCGATGAATATTGATGAAATACTCAATCCGATACGAACTTGCCACTGTCTCTCGACGAGCCCGCGGAGAGAGGCGGCATCAGCGATCGTGAGCAAGTTCTTCATGATTTACACTCCGGCGAAAACTTGCTACGAGCTCTTAATGGATTCATTACCCCGTTCATTAGTTGAACGTGTCGAGTTCCGAAAGCCCAGAGTGTACTTTGGAAAGCCATCACCACAGACGGGGCACCGATAAAGATGAAAGTCGGTAGCTGGATTGAATCAAACGATTTGCTTGCTGCCCGGAGTACCGAAATCCCCCGGCCGAACGTCATCGTGCGGATCCAGACGATGCGCCGGTGGCCTGAGATGACCGTCGAATAAACTGACTATGCGGGTGCAGCTCGAAGCGCACAGTCGCTCGAATAAATCCGAACCTCTGAATAAAAAACTTCGACCGTCAAGCGTCGGGGGAGAACCCGCACCGCCCATCACTCAAGGTCGTGGGACCGTAGCCGTTCTCCCGGGAGAGACGGATTCGCTCAGTTGGCCGGAAAGACCCCAAGAGTTGATATTTTCGACGGCAAAATGCAAGACGACTCTCCATGCTGGCAAGAACCCTCGTGAATTCGTGGCTTTTCTTTATAGAGCAGATAGAACAAGCCGACTAGCCGCGACGTGCGCTTGCCTCCCAACTGAGAAGAATTTCGTCTCTGCGAGGGGGAGACCTCCCTGTCTTCGTCGACTGGTGTGGGTCGCATCTTATCGAGACAAGAAGAGATCAGCGAGAGAAAAGACCGACTCCTCCCTCCGTAGACTTCTTTGCGACGACGACGACCACTACTACTACTACCGCCGCCCCAAGAGCGAGTTTCGCTGCGGGCAATGTTGTTTTACGAGATTGGAGCCGCGTTCCACCGGGTTTTTGAGTAGCTTTCAACTTTTCTCTCCTTCGCTCTCCTCTACACACATGGTTCTCAAGAGAGTGTCGCACACGAACAAAACTTTTCGCGGGTTCCCTCGACCGAGCTTTGCGACGGTTACTCAACTTCCACGTGTATTCCAAGCATGGGACGGCATTTCGATGAGACCCCTGCTTCGGCACACGAGCAAAATCCCGCTGTGTTGTTTATCGGAGGGGAACCGGGCGAAACACGACCGTGCGTTGAAGGAGGAGGGAACCAGCGAGTATCCAAATCACAGTTTGCAGAAGTATTCCCCGTTCCGCAAGCCGGAACTGCAGCGGAGTCACTCACCAGCTAACGTGAACACGAGTCCGAGAAGAATGCTGGCGATTGCCACGACCGCAAGCCATAATTCCAATGTTGGCTCCATGAGGAACATTGTCAACGGTCACATCCTATGTATGTCTGGCTTCGGAGGGCAGTTCCGAGCGGGATTTATACGATGTGGAGAGCAGCACCTCGGGAAAGGGTCCATGTGGCTGTCAGGCGGCGGGCAAGCATGCTTTCCTTCGAGAGAGACTCATCCCGCCAAATTCGAACTCTTCCTCCTACTCTCGGAAAAGGAAAAGCTCCTCCAACATCACCACCGCCGCCGCCACCGCGACCACCCGCGGCAGCAGCAGCAGCGAAGTTGGCAGTGAAGGCACCGCGGAACGGCGGAGAGCCTGATCGCATCGTCCATCCACCGGCATCGGCAGCAGCCGGACGACCAACATCGAATTCCTATGGAAAAAAGGAAAAAATCAAAATGAGCACCGTCCCGATCGTCCTAGTGCGATCTAACAGTTCTCGACCGACACCATCACTCCTTTACGAGGATCCCAAGTCGGGATCCCACGTCTCGATCGCGGATGACGAAGGGAGCGCCGCTATCCACGGATGACTGACCACCGTCGGCGGAATACCGTTGCGACCATCTATGGCGCAATAGCTTACCTCAATCAACCGAAAAACGATCGATGGGGTGTCCCTTTCCGTGTCATCGAGTATAGACCAGAGTCAATGTCAATCCTGTTCATCCACTCTCATATCGATCCAATTTCCCTATCGAGATTCGAGACGCAAGCGATGTTCCTCGACAATGTCGCCGAAGATATTCACCGCTTCGGGCGGACGGGGGGGGCTGGGAGGGGGAATGGCAACGATCATGCGACACCCGAGTCGTCTTCGAAGAAAGTCCTAATTGAGAGATATGACAGAACCTCCAGGACGCACCTCAGGAATAAGACAGGTCTTCCTGGAACCGCGTGATGGGAGCGATACTTGAGAGTTCCGGAGGATGGAAATGTTGATTTCACAAGCTTCCTGGTTTCTTTTCTGGCCTCGATCGACTGGATCGGAGGTTGCCCTGGGAGCTGAATCTCGCTCCGCGAGAAACGACGGTCGGATAAGGAGCTCCTGGCTCAGAAACATTAGGGTCTCCCAGATTCCAGCGAAAGCGACCCCCCCCCCCTCCGTAGATGCTCCATCGGATCGCAGAAAAGACAACGAATCTCTGAGCTTGGAGTTTGCTCCGGGCCTGCCGCGTTATCGCCGCGCGAGCATCCTCAGAGAGCAGAACGCTTCGGATGACCTGGTTGCAGCTTCCTCTGGTCCTTCGCGATTTTCCGAGCAATCCTGCCGGGGCGTTGTCTCACTTCGATGTCGAGGGCAAGTCAGGCCCATCCCTGAGCCTCCGGATTGGGGAAATCGAATTCCTTCGGCGAGGCCTCGTGGAAAATCTCACGAACAAGAGCAAGCGAGAGAAGCATTCTTGGACCGAGGTTTGGCCATGAGATATATGGCTCAAGGAGTGAACTGTCTGCCTGAATAAGTGGCTTCTTGTGCTGAGAGATCGGAATCGATCGGTCGGGGCACCGCTGACAGCGCTGGCTTTGAATCTGCGGTTGGCTATAGAATAGCCACTGATGGATATCAAGTGTTTATTCCCCCATATCCCACCAGGCTCGAAAAAAAGAGAGCTCCTGCATTCTCTAGCTGAGTTCAAGATATGCAGGAGAGGATGCGTCCGGAGGCCGCGGATTCCCCAGAGTCATGAGTATCCCACGGAGAGAGAGGCTCCGATACCGTTCATTCGCAATCTCATTTCCGCATCAATCAAAGAAAGTAAAAACGAGCCTCACACCGCCGGCGAGGTGTCGACTTCGCAGGAAAAGCGTCGCTCGATTCGAATTCGAAACCCGGGGTCCGCGCGATCGCGTATCCGACGTGGGAATGCTTACTCGACCTTTCTATGGAATCTTTTTCGAAGATACCTGACCGGTTCCAGGGCCCAGCAGAGATCGTAGCGTCGTCAGTGAAATCGGAGAGTGTCCCCGAAAAGTGTGACGGTTCGTTCCTCCTCGGAGGATCTAAGGACGTGGCTGTTGTACGACATCGCAAGGAGTTGCTGATGCAGCTGCAACTTGCCGCCTTGTTCTCGACACGGCGGACACGCCCAAGAACTCACGCTCAACTTATACACACACGAGTATGTATGCGCACAATGTCCGAGTGTTTAGGCAGGGACACATCTGCCGTGTGATGCTGCAAGGAGAAGTCTTGAGAGCCCCACGCGTCGAGTAGGGCTCGGGGCTGCTTGTTGGAAGACCCCTGACCGCGCTGATGCTGTGGAAAGATCACCTCCGGCCGTCTTAATGAACGAGAATCTTCTCGGCAATGCGAAGCCATCGATGCCGAGGATAAATGAGGAATGAAAGGTACTATGTCGTAGGGGCCGGTCGAAAACGATTCAAGTACTAGTTCATGCGCCCAAGCTGGTAGAAGAGATTTCCGCGGGGACCAGAGGTGGATGAGCGAAAATGGAGGGTACAGACGATCGGGATCTTCTCTCGGAATATACCAGTATCATGATTCGGGATCAGTGCTGTGCGCCATCTGATTTTTCGCGGCGGCGGCGACAGGCGAAAAAAGAGATGGCGGCGGCGGACGCCGCGGCGTTCTTCAGCGGAAGTGAGACTCACGGCGCGCCGCGGTTCCCTCCTTCCCAGAGCGAGCTCCATAGGGAAAGTAGATTCCAAGGAGTGAGCTAAGGCACCAGAGAGGGAGTAAGCTTCGGAATGGCGAAAGTAGGAATCGAAGAGCGAGCACAAGTTAGGTTCATTTATTCTCAAGTCACTTATTCCGCAAGAACTCTCGATTATCGTGTATGAAAGGACAAGACGGCAGGCTCGTCATCCCCATTTTGTCTCTTGATGAGCGGCGAGGAGTCGACAGAAAAACATATGAATTGTCTCGATTCTCGGATGAGATAAGGTGTCGTCTACGATTCTCATCATCGAGCGAGCGCATCGAGCTCGGCCCAGGTTCTCTTTCTTTGACTTTGATGAACATTTTCTTCTGTATTCCCTCGATTCACTCCGAAAGTCTTCCGAAATCTTTTAAAAGGGCTCTTGACTATTAACCATGGGGATCATGACGGCGCGCCGTTCCGCCGCAGGACGCCGTGCTCAGAGCTCGGCGGCGGCGGCGGAGCTCAGAGCTCGGCGGCGGCGATCGCCGGCGATCTCGGGGCGCGGCGCACAGCTCTGTTCGGGATCTACGCGGTCATCATACGGATTCGGTGATTTAACGGTAGGCTTTCGATGGTCATCATTCTTCGGACTTCAACATTGATTATCAATCGAATCCGAATCTGAGCCAATTTATCGGAGCGAGCTCCCGCATTCCCCTGTCGCCGTCGGTGCACCTACGCCGCTCACGTGAATATCGATCCTAGGCTCAATTCAAATTCAATAAAGAAGAAAGAAAGTTTGGGTCGCAGCTCGACCCGCCCGCGAATCAGTGAGTGCTCAGATATGTATGTTGATGTAATTCGCTAAGTGATGCTCTTCGCTCCGGGCCCGCTGTACGTCAGACCCTCACTTAGTTATTCGGCCGCACAAGGGCGAACTAATAATCAACCAACCAGCCAACTAGCCAACGAATAAGATGTCGGCGACGACGACTTCACTCACTGAGTCAGTTCCGCCGCCGAGGCAGACTAAGCAAGTGCTGAAAAAACTTATAATGAATGAAGTCAGTCTTCCTGTTCTGCGGCTGAGACGTCCGCTTCGCTTTCCTCTTCCGTCGGGATCCGATACCGGCTCGATCAGCCGGTCCGGCCCCACGCTCGGAACGGAGTCCAGCCGAGGAGGCGAGAAAGTTCTTCCTTTCGATTTTCCCCTTCGTTCCGGCACGAGTCTATTTCTCCGAATGTCCTGAGCCCTTCGTTCTCGAGGCATATAGACTCATTATCTGATAAGCGAACCCCTAATCATACCTGGATCAAAGGCTAGAGCCGAGCCTTCCGAGTCGATGGGCTCTGAAGTCGTAGGGCCGAGGAAATTCTCTAGAGGGAGCCGCTCGCCCATGAATCGACAAATATTCGAAAAAGAAGAATATTCCGTTTTGGGGAAGAAACTCGAGGTGGAAACTTTGGAATGTGGCTTCTGAGGCCTCGTCCGGAAAGTCATCGCGCGATTTACAATCGCCCGATCGAAATTCTTCCGAGACATCATGATCCGGGATTTGCGCGAGACTCCGAACAGATCTGACGTGTTTCCTGATCTATCTACTCGCATGGTTGTCGCCGCCTCAGCCGAAAACATCCGAAGTGAAGTACGAAAGAGAAACATCGTCTGTGGTAGCTGAAGTGGGAGCTCCGGAGCGTGTGCACTCAGATTTATAGGTTTGCCGCGAGCAAAGAGCTCGGAGATGATGGTTTCTTGTCATCCACAGATTCCATTCATCCATCCGGGGGGGGGCGCCGCGCGGCAACGACCGGCGCCGTAACCGATGCTGCTCGATCCGCGAGTAATTATTTCTCCTGTGAATGAATACCGGTCAGCGCTGTTTGTCGACCGAGCGAATCGGAAAACGTCCGAAACAATCGCGTGCTCGCGACAAGCCCCTGCGAGTCCAAACTTGGATTGGCAGACGGATGAAGCAACGACTGGAAGGGCGATCGCTCAGCCGAGCAGACCGTGCCTTGATGGATGAACGGTTGCGCCGAAGTTTGAAGCCTCCGCGGAGCCGACGACGACGTCGCGGTGAAGATAAGAGTTTGTCGTCTCTGAAGTATTTACGAGCTTCTAGCGATGATTTCCGGTTGGCAGCGGACTGCGTATGACCCGCTTCCTGCAGTTTTTGATATGTGAAGGGACTTGACAAATAATCCTCTCGCTCTGCGGGCGGCCAACCTTCAAGAAGTGTGTGAATTTCAATAGGTCCTGTCGCGAACCCGGGACCTGGTTCGAGTCTAGTAGCTCGACGTATCGTCTGAGCGGATGTCGCTAGACTTCGAACCGCTTCCCTTCGAAAACCTCTTCAGCTTGGGAACTCGATCGAACGATCATATCCCCGTCCGCGGACGACGAGGACGAGACAAATGAAGTTCTCCTGCGAGGAATGTCTAATTGAGCAGAATATCTAAACGGATCCATCGGAGGAGACTCACTCAGAAATAAGATCGCTCCTAAGTAGACGCATTCGGAACCCCGCCGAACTTCCGGAGGAACCCAAACCCGCCACTAGCGAGAATCGAGCTGTCCGGAATGGATTGGGCTCGGAATAGAGACGGGTATGTCGATCCACGAGTAGTTTCCACGGACTTTTCCCGTATAACCCCCAGGGATTCCCTTCCCAACAATAAACACTGGATGTCATTCTCGACAGGCAGTTTTTGAAAGAACGGGAAGCGCTAAGTGAAGTTGAACGCCCGACCGGGAATGGCTTTTCCTCCTCCGCTTCGGCTCGCCCAATTGAGGGTCTGGAGGAGCAGTGGCTGCAGGCTTCATTTTGACGGATGAATCGGGTCGGAGAGCAATGAAAGTGAACGAATGAGCAGGACTTCAGAATCAACTCGTTCCGCCACAGAGCGGCAGAAAATAATTTTCGACTAACGGGCGCGAAACTCCCGGGCCTCACAAAAGGATCATCCCCTCTCAGAGCCATCATCACGCCGCTGGTTGCCGTCGCCTCGGATGAACAGACAACGGGGAACATACCGGCCCGCATGCTAGACAGCGTTGATTTCATCCGAACTCCATTATCTCTGATCGTATGGCCTCGGAAAGCGGGCTCCCTCTAGGTCTCTTAGGTCGGCTTCATCCCTGTTTCATGATCCTGCTCCTCATCTCATTCTCGAGCCTGGAACGAGATCGAAGCGCCTCACGCATCGAGTACATCTCAATCCGATTTACTGTAATCCCTGCCGGCATCGGATTTCCGAATGCTGGCCCTAGCCGCAGAGCTCATTTCCGGATTCCGCGGATTCTGAGCTCCCTTACACGAGTCTCTAATTTCGCAGGGAATTATCAATGGTCGGAACACTCTCCGATACGAGACCGTAGACCGCAACGCGCCCGCCCAGGAGAGCGAGAGTGGAGCAAAAGTTGGAGTCTTGTCCGACTGTGAATGGGACAGAGGCGCGCGACGTGCTGAATCTTGTCAGAGGGCCGAAAGCTGTAACGTGAACTTATTCGGCGTTGGTCACGAACCAGCGCGGCTACCGTCGGGGAGCGTTCCCAAAAGCAAATCAGCATATCTTGGGCCGAGCTCGGGGCCTCCGGGCTGCTCTATCCGTCCTCTGAAGAGGAAGGAGAGAATGTAGGACTGACAGAGCTCAGCAAGGACGCGCTCTGGGTGGCAAAGAAGTCGAATGGAAGTCTCGAAGTTTACCCGTGTCTTCCCTAGTTCTGCAGACTGGTCAAGAAATACCAGGGTTCAATCTGCTCGCTCGAATCTCTGCCGAGAAACAGAGGAGTCATGTGGAGGTGTGGAGAATCGGAAATCTGGCCGCACCACTGTTCCCGCGATTGTGAGTCAATTGAGCGAATGCTGTGAAGACTCAGTGAGATGAAGAGGTCTCGATAGACTCCAAACGTTGGAGGGCTGCCTGGGAAAGCTCACGCTGGGCGTTTAGAGTCAACGGCGATGACTGCTAGAAATACTATTACTCCCATGTAACGGACTCACATTCCTCTCGCGAGTGCGAAGGAATGCTCGAGATTCATCAGCGAAACTTCTCAGCTCTCGGACAGAAAGAGTCAGTCTTTATCTACGCTTTCTGCGGTGGGCTGTACCACGAGATCGCATCAATTGCTCACTCGCGCTTCGCCGATTCCAGAGTGCGTGGCACGCGAGCCAAATAGCTGAAACTCGTCCTGGAGTCAACCATGAAAAGAGATGAAAAAAACGTTCCGGAAGAGTGGATCATCTCCGGAGCATGTGCTTATGTTCACCTCCGGAGCATGTGCTTATGTTCACCTGGGTCATCATCCTCGCCGAAATGCGCAATTGCATTCGCCAGTGATTCCATTAAGCTGAGCTTAGCGAGACTCTCCATCGGGAATCGTCGACCAAAGAGCTGCGATAATTCAATGGCTCAGGTGTTGCATCGGGATGGACATTCGACCGGTTCAAGACGATTCGAGAGATACTACGGACGCGTCACTCGAAACTCAGTCACCGTTGAATTATTTTAATCCAAGCTTGACGTCGACCTTGAGTGCAAGCTTTATCTCGAGCGCCAGCCTCGATCCACAGCAGCGAAATATATAGATTCCTGCCATAGGACACAGCAAAAGCAATCATCGAAGCGCCTTTGACAACGCGGGATCGACCAGGGAGCGCTCGAATCGCGGGGGTGACGGTAAACACTTGAATTAAGTCACAGCCCGGAAGGAAACTCGACGGTCTTCCCTTCAGAAATGTACGTATACTCTCGCGGTGAGACGGGCCAGGGAGTACGAGTCGGCCAGCATCAGACAGTCCTATTTTCGCTCAACTGTCCGCGACTAGGGATTAACGATTCGTCCACTCTAGTCGTCTGCCCAGGCAACTTCGCATGGGTTTATCAATATTTCAGAGCGGCTTCAGGGTCGTCGAGACTTCAAATAGAGTGCTCATTCCGTGGAAAGACTCTCGTCTTCTCCTTCGATCGCTCCTCCCAAGCTGTCTCCGTACTGGAACCGTCCACGTTTCGCGGAAAAAGTCGATAGAGCTCGCAAGTGCGGACTCCCGACTCCATCGCATCCGGATGACGGGGAGCGTGCCGCTTTGCAATGTCCATAAAAACTCACAAAGCGCTCGCCGATTCCGAACGCGTTCCCTCCGAATCCGAAGAAGTTTCCAATGGCTCCCCCGTCCAGAGATTATTCTGACTGACCTCCCGGGGCGGCCTCCGATTGACCTCCCCGCAGCGGATCTTTTACAAATCTTTCCTGCTTATCTATGCGAGCGGACCGTTGTCCGAATCCAGCCCGGGAAAGTTTTGGAAAAGCCGGGGCAGTGTAGGGTCAGTGTCGACATCCGCTCGATCCCAGTCGAGTTTAATCGATGTGGCTGATTATGACGACAGCGGGAATCGGAACTCCGCATCTGGTCCACAGCCGGGCTAGGTCTGATGTTGCAAAGGGCCGTATCAGTGCATTCGACCGTCTGCAATCTCTGCCCGAGCTGGCTCCGACATCTGGGTGCACCGTGTTGAGCAAGCCATCCGGAGTTTTCGTTGCGATGTACGCGTTAAAGCGTTCGCCTGACGTCACATGTCAACTGAGCCCTCCGCGTGAGCGATCTGGTTGAATAATTAATTGCGATGCAGCGGTTGGAAACGTCAGCTTTTGTTATACAGCTGGTACTAGCTCAATGGAGTTTCCGATCTGCCGCCTGTGATCAAAGCATTCACAAATGATTTGACGATCGTGGATCCCGAGGACTCCGGAAAAAAAGCTCCGCAGGTCGATCCTCGGGGAGGTTCTCACATGAGACAGCAATGTTGTGATGTGACCTGTCTGAGACTCGTCCCGGTGCTCTGCTTCCCGGGAAATCGCACCTTTGCATTGCGTCTGCTCCACGGGGTTCATTCCCCGCGCGCTTGAACGATAATTACTTTGGGAGTAGGAAGCACGATTATCCTCGAATGCCTACAAAGGTATGCCAACTTCGAAATCCTCGCCGCTTCTGCGACCGCAACGCTCGAATCGCAAGTCTCGCAACTGGGATCGAGATTTTCGGATCGACGCCACGGTTCTGGGCGTAGCGGATACCGAAGCGGAGACCTTCGCAAGTCTCCGGTAAATTTTTCCGAACGTGGGGAATAGTTCCCGGTTTCCGAATGGAGTACTTTCTTCAAACTCTCACAGCAGCAACTTGAGAGAATGGGACGGCTTTCCGCTGATGCTCGAAATTTATTCCACTTTCATTTCCTTCCATTATTCACTTGGATTGTTCTTCAAACAGGAGCGCTCGAGCGGCAATTATTATCATCGTTATTATTCCTCCTAAATCGTCCGAGAGTGTCCCGGCGAGGACGTGATGAGGAACGATGAGGCGTCCACCGGAAGCCCCCCCGAAGACGTGTGAGCACTTCCTGCTGATCCTGTTCGCCAAAAGTTTTCAGAAAAATTGCAGACCTCATAACGCTTGCGTGAGACGTTCCCTTGCGAGCTTCGTCCTCGAGCTTCCCGTTCCGAGCCAGCTCGGAGGAGCGAGCTCCGACTGAATCAAATTTCACGATCCTTTGTGCGCCTTGCTGACATCGACCCATGATTATATCGCTCACCATGCTCTCGATCGGAGCTGAGTAATCATGTGAGAGGCGGAACTCCTCCTGGATCCGGGCTCAAATCCCCAGGGATATGAATCCCCGTCTCCGCGGCGGTAGGAGATGTCTGGGAAGCTCATTCGGGATCTTGTAGCCTTCTAATCTGACGCCGACGAGGTGCATCGCGAGGCAGTATTCATCTTCGTCGAGCGCACCGTCCCTGTCGATATCGGCCAGCCTCCAAATTTTCCCCAGTATCGAATTGGGGAGATTCGATTTGACCATTTGCTGAGATGAGGGGGAACTCAATCAATTATTTTCCTCCAAGACTTTCTCACAAAGTGGATCTCATGATTTTCTATTCGAATCTATTTCAATAAGAAAATTCCAAGTTGTAGCGAATAGCGTAACACTATCCGCATCGAGAACGGGATTGTCGACTCACCTGTTTCGCCACTGCGCCGCAAACTTTGTTCGTGTCGTCCTTGAGCTTCTCGAAGTCTCCCAAGTAGCGATGTTTCTCGACGACCCAACCATTTTCTAGAGATCCCTTATCGGCCCCCTCACCTCGGCCGTTTTCGAAAATGGATCTGTCGAATTTGCCACCGCGAATTCGCTGCTGAGAAGCTTCGGTCTCTTGTTCACTTTGGAGCATTTTCACGAGCGATGGAATTCGCGTCAGAAGAACATCATCGACCCCCTCAACGAGCTTCTTGTTGAGGCCCTTGAGGAGACTCCAATCGATGTTCATCAGCTTCTGTCGTAAGTCATCCACGTCGGGGAAGTCTCCTTTTGCAAAGTTTTGTTTCTGACGGAGACGAGAGATTTAGGTCTCGTAGCAAAGTGGGCCAAGGAAGCTCCTCTGAGGCCGGCGTGCTCGAGCTGCTCGTGCTGCGAGGCCCGGCAGCCGCAAGGTCCACAGATCAATTCCCCCAGTCTCAACAAAATCATATTCAGATCTCGAATCAGGTTTACTCCAGTGACTTAAAGGCCAGACTCAAAGGAATCCGGGTTCGCGAGACGCTGACAGACAGCTTAGCTACCAGTCACGTGCAAAATATCAGAAGAACTCACTTTCTGAATTTGAGCGAATATCAGTGGTAGGCTCTTGATTATCTTTTTCTTCTCGGTCTCGTGTCTAAACATCGATGTGTTGTATTTCTCGTTCAAGGCATCGACAATGTAAGCGTTTACCTTAAGTGGTGAATGAACGGCTTAGGTGTGATTACGTTGAGTTAGAAATGGGTTCCATTCATCGTAACGAGCTTGGAACGATGAGCTCACCTTCGCCTGTCGTGCTCGCTTCAAAAGGTCATTGAGCTTTCGCCAAGCCACTGTGCAAGGTAATTCGCCGATTTCACGGAAGAGATCACATTCCTCGGCTTCGAAGAGTTTCCGCAGATCATCGTTCCTGCAAAAGGGATTGCGGTAAGTGAGAGTTTCGGATTGCGAAAGTGTCTTGCTCTTGAGCATATGTCATCGTTTTATCTCGGGTTTCAGTGTGATATCAGATGCTTTACTTGAGCGCTTCGTCCCAGAAAGTGCCGATATAAACGCGAACGACTTCAGGGGTGAGCAGAATCTTCCCGAGCGACCACATCAGCGCGCCGTAAACCTGCGCAATAGTTTTGAGTTGAAGTCAGATTGAGGAACTCGTTCGGACCCTATGTAGACAACGGATATGTCCTACTCCAACGAACTCCCCTCACCCGCATCAGAGCCTGCTGGTCTATCATGTCGGCTTTATTCAGAACGATGCGGATCTTTTCATCGTGCCCCCGGAGAACTTCGATCGATCTGAAACGGGCCGAAAGTGAAATCATCATTTCGTCATCGAGGGATGTGCGCGGCGACCTTGCTAGGGATTACGAGCTCCCGAATCCATAGGCCCTTACCTTCGAAATTCATCCGAAATATCGAGTTTGTGAGCATCGAAAAGCAAAATGATGCGATCTACCCGGGCAGCAAACCACTTCAACACTTCAGTGAAGTTGTAGCCCCGGTCTACACGCTGTTTCTCCCCCGAGAGTATTCCTGAAATCAAATTAACGGGAGCGATCACTGTTTCTGATGGGAAGGCTTCCGCCCGGAATGCCGGGAACGAACGCTCATGCAGCAGAAGCGAGCTCCTTCGTATGCTCGGCTCGGAAAGCTGGCTGCGTGCAATATCCGGCGAAGAAAAACCCCGACGGAGTTCTGGGGAAGTCGAACTCTTGATTCACTCACCCGGTGAGTCAACAATCGTCAAGGAGCGTAAGACGGGGGAATCCTTGAGAGATATTTGGAATCGCTGTAAGAAGGCGCTGCCGAAATCTCCCAAAGACATGAACGGCTTCGAGTTGTCTACGACGACGGCGTGTCCTGGAATGACGCCATCCTGGGGTCCATTCATGAGAGCGATGAAGCGATCAGTGGTGGGTTCCGGTCCGACGAGGTCCCCGGGAAAATCGTCGTCGATCAAGTATCTGTAAAACGATACTCTGCTAAGTATGGCCTCCCGTAGCGATATCAGTTGGATCGATATATAAGGCCGCAGTAGATCACGAGGATCGCGAGTGTTCTGTTTGGAACCTTGATGGATATCCGCCCGCAGTGGGAATCCGGTGAACTTACTTGATGAAAGTCGTTTTTCCGGTAGAGTATTGGCCAATTAGAAGCACCGTCGGTTTAGCATCGAAGTCAGAGTCTTGAAGCTTCGGCGTACAGAACTCGTGGAAGAGGTACTGCTCCTCGAGGGGCAGGATCTTCTCATTATATATTGCTTTCAAGCCTACGAAGAGATACGAGATTGAGTCACACGGACGATTCGCTGGAAAATCGTTTGACGCTGCGCAGACACAGCCCCTGGTCAGAACTGACCTTCTACCACGGTCGTGTAGCGTTCGAAAGTCGGCGTCGATGCACTCTTCTTTTTCCGGCTGGGCATTATGGAATGTCTGGAAACAGAGAAGGAATGAGAGGAAATCCTATTCACTCGTAAGCTGAATTCATCGACTGATGGGAGCGGTATCTGATCGTGAGGTTTCCTTGCTTTGCTCCGGGAAGAGACTGAAGGGTCCAGATGGTGACGCGCAAAAATAAGCTCTATAGTTTTGCGGAACCCTGCAAACTCTCTTTCTCGCCCACATAGCTATGTAGATGAGTTGATCTAGGTCTGCGGAGCATCCATAGCACCGTGAGCAGCCTCCAGTCAGAACACATAGAGCTCGAATATTGCCGTAGAGCGATCATCCTTCGGCTATGAGTCGCCCACCTCAAACTTCGCATGCTGACCCGCGGTTGGAGAGCGAGAGTGCCGAATGATGGCTATTCAGACTCAGATCTAATCACGGTTGTCATTCGGACTGAAACAGTCATAGCCCCTCAGGAGGGTTTCATAGTTCACCCAAACACCTAGGCACTAACTTATTTCGAGATCCGCTAAGGATATCGCAGAAACCGATTTTGAAAGTGTCGAGAGGCACCGGAATGCATAGTTCTCGATTCCCAGAGACTTGAACCCCGAAAACCAGCGTGTTCTGTTTGGACATCTATCCCATCCTTCTCTGTATACCAATGCTGAGAATTGACGTTGCTCAAGGATCGTCAATAATCAGCATTGGTATCATTGCGATAATTTTCAAAATAAGAGCGGCTCGGAGTCGCCCGCGGCTGGAAAGTTCTCGCTGATCCCACAAAGTCAAGGTCCAGCTCTCCAGGACTCTCCAACAAACTCAAACCGTTGTTCTAGCTGCCCATCGCCGAGAAACTTCTCGCTTGGGCTGAGCGTGAAGGTGAACCAGCAGTCTCCGGTAAATGCAATCTCTCTCCCGCGGACTACTTTATGTTGCGGGATCGAAGCCGGAGACCGCTCATTCCACCCATCAGATTGGACCCGGTGTGTGAGCGGCGTCGCTCCGCCATCTCTTGCTGCGGACGATCGTCCAGCGCATAAGTGCTCCTGTGACGTATGGGTGGCGTCACTCGTGCATGAGCGACGGAGCGATCAAGCCCTTCCAGGCTTGATCACACGGCTCCCCGACGGGAGCCGGACTTCTGCATTTACTTCCTGCGCATCGAATGATCCGGCAGCGCCGTGAGCACGGGTTTAACTCCGGAGCTCCTTATCAACCAGATCCCACTCGAGTGAGCACCCTCGGGGATGGCTGTGTTCGTTCCTCGACCGTGGCTCAGGCAAGAATACGCTCCCCGGCTACGCCCCATTGATTCCGGACATGTATACGGAATCTTCTCCCCCGAAAGAAATTCAACTGGACTCACAGACGCAGCGCTCTCAGCTCGGGAGTTGGTAACACGTATGCACCACTTGGGAACGACGTGGAGTCCCGGGGGAATTCCAAGTTCGACAACTGGACTAGGCGCTTGTGCAAACAAATACCCCTTTCCCTTCGGGACTCTCGCCCTGATATCAAAGATTGGGTTGGATTAGGGAATTGAGGACTGATCCCTCGTGCTAGGTCGGCGGTCGCACGATGAGATTTTCTACCGAGCCGTGTTTGGCGTATGTAGCTCCTGATTGCCAAACACCAAAAAAGGGATTTGTTGCATGACGGACGAGCAGGGAGACAAGCGAATCAGGTGGGTGGACGCACTTCTCCAATATCGTCCGAAGACAGCCAAGCACTCGACTTGATCTGCCTTACTTCCGTCATGCATGCTTCTTGGATTATCGGAAATCCCGCGAGCAGTTCTGTGTAAGAGCCGGCTCGTCGCTTTTGCCGTGAAATCAATGAAAAATCTGAAAATGACTCTCAGCCTCAGCTTTCGGAATACGGAACGAGCTCCGCGCTACAATATTCGAATGATATAAGCGTCGACAATCCAGATTGGTCCCACGCTCGGCTCTGTTAGACGTTATCTCGAATCATCCTCGCATAGTAGCCCGAAGACCAAATATGACGTCAGGGATAGCGAAAGTTCCGCAGTTGAATTTCATGGACTCCCTGAAGCTCGTCCTTGTGATTCGAATTAGGATGGCGGCCTCCCGAAATCTTCAGTGAAGGAGATGACGCGCAGTTCCCCATGCATCCCGTTTCGGTGAACGATGATCGAGCAGGAGGCCGCCTCACTGAATGAGTCATCCGAAGCAGCGATCGATACCTCTCTGTCTCTCAGGACTCCCTCCGAATCACGAGGCCGATTCGAGGACCCCTCGCTATGGAATCTCAGAAGTGATTCGAAATACATATAATACGTATATGCATGCGCTCCCAGGCTCTCTACCGGTCCTCGCGATCAGTATTATTGTACTAGCCATGCCCTTCATGGCCAGCCATACTGCGATTATCCCCATTTTTCCCGGTTTGATTCACACCGGACCCCTCCAGGAGGCCTTGAAGGATCCCAAGGGGGCCCTGGTATCCCCGGTCCGGAACAACTGCCCTGGAAGGCTCCCGTCGGCTCTGAGATTCGAAATCTGGTGTCGCAATAATAATATTGCAAGGTTGACCCTCGGCATGGAAGCACTCTGGCTCGGTTATCCTGCTCAGAGAATGTTGTTGTACCGAGAACATTGAGGCAGATTGAGATTGCATAGACAGGAGGCAGACTTTCATCCCTGACATGAGCGAAGGAAGTATATCCGAGGGTAGCTAGTTGTCCTGAATTACGAAAACAGTATGGGATCCTCGCCGGAAGCACACCATTCGCCTGTGTAACATCTGATTTTATTTCTCTGTGATCCGAATACAGCTGTTACAGTCCTGTCCTCTTGTGGAGGGGCTTCATCATCACCATCATAGTCTGGACTTATACTACCCATTTCGATCTAGCTCGATGAATCGCTGAATTTTCGATCGCAGAGTTCCTGGGGAAGCCCCCCTCAAGACAGGGACCTTTATTAACTTTTTTCTCTCGCGCTATCTGCGAGCTCTCCGGAAATCTAGCGATCCCGAGGCTCGCGCGGATGTCAAGTCAACATGGTGATAAATTCTCTGAATTCCTACGGTTCAACGTGATTCAACGGGTTTGATTAATTGTGGCAGATACGACGTTCTGCATTCAAGTATCGTTGCCTGTATTTCTCTCTACCTTGTTGATCCGCAACGATTGATACGTGATCAGAATAGCAGCAGCCTGATCGTGTCTGCAAGAACTCTCGCGAGTTCGTGTGTTCTGGTCAGAGCAGTCTACTAGACGACTTCGACGCGACGGCTCGAGACTCTAGAATCTAAAACCCTAGTCGATACACGGAAAGACTTCGTTCAATGAGACAATGAAAGTTTGCATGTCCTCTCTTCGCAGATTTCTATTCTTTCATCTCATCGAATATCACCTGTGTTGCCTCACTCAAATCATCAGGATATAACCGACTTTAAAAGCACCCAACGCAACCGGTGCACTATCGTGGGAATAAGAGATTAGGAGCAAAGCAATCCTCGGCTCAAAAACTTAATTTCGTTCAACTTCCTGTCGCCTCAGCAAGACTTGGCATATCAGAGCGGGACGATTGCTTTGACCCTTGACACGAGGTCGCTTGACGGCGGGAGCCTAGGATCTCGGTTTCCCTCGTTTAGTGGCAAGGTCTGCAGACACCGAGATTCGGATTGATGCGAAGTATTATTCTCAGCACTATTCTTCAATATTGATCTCTCACTCCTGAATTTCATGGTCGCCGCCTTTGCCGTTGTGCGGAAAGACGGTCTCCGAGGTACTCTATGTCTCTCATAGCGCGAGTGACTAAATCCAATCGGAAATCGCGGCATCTTAGGCTCAATTTTTGTTCAATCATTCTTGTCTCGACGATTCATCCTCTAGCTCCGTACTGGGCATTCCCAATACGGAAGTCTCGAAATCGGGTCCCGGAGATAGTAGCGACATACTGCAGCCGGACCTCGAGGCTCGAAGTTATCAGCGCACCGAAACTAATATATTACGATATTTTCCCGTACCGCGAAGTTTTCGAAGCTGACTTCTCGGAATTTGCGTCAATATCCCCTTGCGGACGATGCCTCTGACGCTTCCTTGCAGCATGCGGGGCTCACACGATGCCGCTTGAGAGTGAGGGGACCTCAATTTCTCTTGGGATAGACGGAGGAAGCCCTGCGGAACTGTGTTATACCATGTACTGAAGTATCTCCATCGATTTCGTCGATTCCTTCCCTTCCTAGTCTCGTTGACTGTTGTGCGCCTAAACTAATCGTCGGCGACACCTCCAGCTGCGTGTCTCTTCGAGCCGGGCTCTTCGAAGACTCCCTAATGGGCCTGATCAGCCTTCAGTTCCCAGAGGCATCAGGCGCGACACCGTAATTTTTCCGCACGCCGATTCCGTCTTACAATCATGACAGAGGGATACTAAGTCTCGAAGAACTCGGGTATATCTAGAGCAATAAATGAAAACTCCCTCGATTTCATAACGACATGTTATGGTTTCCCTTCGACGAACAAAATTATATACCATGACTAGATCGAGTCAGGATTATATATATTTTATATATATTTTCATGTTCAATATATTTATACTCGAGGATCTCTGAATCATTGTGTATTCCCTTATTGTCATTGTAGATCTCCGCTTAGGATACATAAAATCATCGGTGTCAGATATTCGAGAGTAAAGATAGATGTTCGTGAAATCGGGATTTAAGATCTCTCAGGCGTGGGTCGGTGGTTCCCTTCGCGCATTATTCGTGGAAGCCGAGCGTGGAACGAGGTGAAATTTCGCGGTTTCGCTCACAAGACTCCTTGGAGTCGAACGAGACACCGAAGACCGTGTGTCTTCTTTTGAGGCAAGAACTAAAGCTGCGCCCTGGCTGCAAAGCCGGGTGACCATCAGTTTTTTTCGTATTGCATTCGAAGATCCTTTGGAATCTTGAGGATCACCACCGTCGGACACTGCTCCAATAGGGGCCGGATCAGGTGCGTTCTCCGGCAGACCCGACTTGAGAATATAGAATTGATCCCCATCGAACTTCGACGCGGGACATGAAATTGATGTCTCGGGAGCTCGAAGTTTGAGGTTAAAAATAAATCCGGAGCGTTTCCCCACAGGTTCTCGATACAGCTTTGCGAAGAACTCAAAATGACGACTCTTACGCTTAACACATCAGCGACTGGAATAAGAAACAGCTCTGGGTATCTTATTGATAAGCGCGCTGACGGAAGAGAGCTGCGATTTCTTCGACACTTTTGCCTTTCGTTTCTGGAACACGCCGGAAGGTGAATATCCAGAAGAACATGAGGAACGCAGTGAATATGAGGAATACGAAATGCCCCAAGGCGGCTGAAAAAACGGAGAAAGTTGGATATCTTCCACCACGTTTTGGATGTGGTATATAAACAATACATGCTCCTCGGAATCGTGGAAGCGTATTACCTTTGAGCGGCAGGAAACACATCCCGACGAGGAAGTTCGCGGTCCAGTTGACCGCGACCGAGAGAGAGGTAGCGAGGGGTCGCGCTCCTTGGCCGAAGAGCTCGCCGACAAGGAACCACGGTATGGATCCAGGACCAGCAGCGAACATGATGACAAAGCCGATCACGGATGCGACGCTCATCCATGAGAAAATGGGGTTGCTTCCGTTCATTGAGAGGGAGATAGTCAGCACCACGGTGAGCACGGCCATCCCACCGAGGCCGATCAGAAGGAGTTGTCTGCGCCCCGCACGCTCCACCAACACGAGAGATACGAACGTCATGAGGACGTTGATCACGCTTACGGCGAGCGTGGCATTCGCGGCGGCGTCTCTCGACAAGCCAGCTCCAGTGAAGATATCCGTCGAGAAATAGAAGGCCTGTTCGAAAAAGAAAATTTTCGATTTCATGAGTGTGCGAGGATTCTAAAGTCTATTGGATCGATGATCGGCTCTCACTTAGATGCTACAAATCATGATTCTCTCTGCATGAGGTATCATTCCATCCGCTCAGCATCCCAACCCACCGCGTTGATTCCCGAGAGTTGTTGAGACAACATGACCATCATAGCGATTATCAACGGGGTGCGCAATCCGATGTTGTGAATCATTTCGTATAGGGTCACTTTCGGGACCATTTTCACTTGCTCGTACTCGGCTCGCATTTCATCCATTTCGTCGTGGACCTCAAGCGAGCCTCGCAACCAAGTAAGGGCTGAAATGACGAGAGAGAGTGAGACGCTGGATGAAGGTTATTAAGGGTTTTTCCAAACCCACCGCGAGGGGTGATTGTCTCCGCAATGCATCCAGCTCAGCGACATAGATTCTGAGATGTTCGCGCAGCGTCAGCCTTACCCTGTTGAGCGGCCACGTCTTTTCCCTGGTTGATGAGAATGTATTTTGGGGACTCCGGGCAGAGAGGAAAAGTGCACAGCATCAGGATCGTAGGCACAATTGTGAACCCTGTGATAAAGTATGTCTTCGAGAATACGATCTGATATCGAGGTCCCTCGATCCGAGACATGAGGTTTTTTCCACCCACCGAACAGAAGCGGCCACGACTTTTCCGTGCCGTACAGTCCTTCGAGACCGAGGATATTGGAGACCAGAATGGAGATGGTCACAACAAGTTGGTACATGGATCCAACGGCACCTCGAAGATGGGTCGGAGAAATTTCGTTGAGATACATGGGGCCAAGACCCGCGTTCAAGCCGTTGTTGACGCCAATGAAGAATCTGCCCATTATCATCATTTCATACGAACGGCAGCTCTGGGAGGAATAATTTCGCTCAGTCTCTTCCGGAGCCTGTCCGAGTCTCCGATTCAAGGAATTATGACGATATCGAACGGTCTTATCGATCGGATTGGAGGGCAGACTCACCCTTGCGAATCCCATGAGAGCGGCAGCTACGATCACAAAAACGTTGTTGAAAAGGAGACCCCCTTTCCGTCCGAATTTCTCTGCCGCGAATGCCGTCATCAATCCACCAATCATTCCTCCGATGCAGTAGATGGAGACGATGATGGAATAAATCATCGTAGTCGTTTCAGTGCTAGCAGCCGTTTCGAATCTGTGGTAATACGTGTCATTGATGAAGGCTACGACGAGCTGTAATGAACACAACGAGAACTTTGAGATCTCGTATCCGTCCGGACCAATCGCTCAAAAAGAGCGATTGACTGAAGGGGGGAACTTCGGAGCTCTGTTGGAGTAGGTGCTTTGGACACAATTTAAGAAGCACGATTCATCGATACATTTATATCAGCCAGGTTATGTTAAAGAAGACTGTATTTATGGAGTCATATCCCGTAGCTGGGTTGGCTCCATCACAATGGAATCCGTGAGTATCTACCAAGAACTCGGGAGTTCCTGATCACCTGATGGGAAAAGTCAAAGGAATGACAAACCTTTTGAGGGGCATTGACCACGCCAATATTATATCCATGCTGGAAGGCAGAGCCCAGTGCGGCCGCTCCGATTGCGAAAGCAAGGTTTTTCGTGAGGCCCTGAAAATGAATCCAAGGATCAATGGGGAAGTTCCAGGAGTTTCACGCCGAATAGCAAGTGAGTTTCGGATCTCGGGTCCTGCTCTTTCTCTCAGCTTGCAGAGAGGGAGAGATACCATGCACCACCCTGAGCATGCTTTGCATTATTAAAGTGGCTTTGTCGAGGCCGGTATGGAGCTCGTCGTGAGCTAATTCCCCTGACAAATATTTCATGAGAATATTCCCGCATCAGGAAGTTCCCAGCACGACCACAGGGGTCGGTGAGGAGGCCGTTGCGGAATTCCGCTTTGAATCCGCCATTCAAACGTCTCCGATCGATGAGGGCGAGGATTCTAATCCTAGTGTGAAACTGAGTATGTCAATATTCGTCCTGAAAACTAACTGTAGAAATCTTCACTCTTCCCGAGAAAAGAACCCAGAGATGCCACGCAATGCAACACATGGTCCCGCAGCTAGTCGCAACACTGGTCTCCGAGAAGAGTCTCTAGAAATCGTCCTCGGGGGGCTCTCTTCTCCGGGAATCGACCAGGGTGAGATTTCCATCGGAGAGAGTGGAGCACTGACGCGCAGCAGCAAAAACGGAAAAATTCGTTGGACGATCTCGCTCCGAGCTTCAGTCATACGCTATTATTTTCCGCTCGCAACATTTCGCGGCGCTCCACAATACTGAGATCACGACAAGGGACTGTGATATACCAAAGAGCTACTTTACGACCACTCGGATTAAAAGCGGCAGCACTTCATAACTGAGCCGCTCCGATATTTAGACACCGCGTCTCTAGTTCTCAGAGGACGTTGCGGCGGACATAGGCCAGGAAAGAGAATGGAGGAGGGCTCTAGGCCGCAGACGGAGAATCATTTTTTCCACGGCACTAGTTCTCCTTGATGATCCGAATCAAACGTTCGAGCGCGGCGAACTCAGGTTCTAGATACTTATTTGGAGAGGGCGAATATCTTAACGTGTGCCTGGCAGAAGAGCAGATCGAAGGTAGTCCCGAAAGTAAGGGTCAACCGGAAGCGCGGGTTGTCCTGGCCTTGGCTCTCTAAATATCATTCACTTAAACCAGTTTCCGCCACAAGCATTCAGAGATCAGGAGACTCGAGCCGCGATCGATGGGCTTGCATCGAAGAATTCAGCTAGGTGTTCTCCTTCAGGGAGTGACCTACAATAATTGTATCTCGCTATCCCGATCGATACTTTATCAGAACGCGTGCCTTAGGCCGCAGACGGACCGAAACCTTCACCGGAAGAGGAGCATTTGCAATATGGAGGGAAGGAGATCATGGATCGGATCTGAGCTCCTATGATATATTTCATCACGATTTACCGCAACACATGTCGAATCGCCTTGGTCGGACCCACTGCTGAAAGCCAACTTGAGACCACTCGCACTTTTTCTCCGGTCTTCAGACACCTCTTCTAGGATCAGACTCTTTCGCTTCGTGCTCATTGTGTAGAGCACCAGTCAATTTGGACCAGAAAATTTGAAAAATTACGAGTTCTCGCCATCGAATTCCTGTCGAGAATTCCCTCGTATGTCTGGTCAACTTTAAATATCCCTTCAAACTTCGGAGCCGCAGAACACGACGGTCCAATGAGTCAAGTCAGCGGCGAGAGACTGGACGTCTAATTATGTCGTAAAAGCGAGAGGTCAGTTGAAACATCTTTGTGAATGTTTAGTCTGGATTTATAGCCGTGAGCTTCCCGACCTCAGGATGATAATCCTCGAATGATCGTATATCGAATCGAGATATGAAATTAGAGCATAGGACTCCATGGAGCGCGTGAAGTGGCCTGACCTTTTTTATCGAGGCATACGGTAAAGAACATATATATATATCGTATTCAATCGATACACCGAGCGATCTGAGGCAGAGTCTCTCTCTTCAAAGATTCTCAAAGAGTCAGTGGATCCTCCGAAAGTGAAACAGGTTTGCAGCTGAGCGTTCGACGGCTTCGCTTAACTAAGAAAAGTTCGTACTAGGAGATATCATGAGAAGATCTGAAAATACCAAGGCGTCCGTAGGGTTTCCGGAGAATACATAGGAACATTCGAATGGGACTCGGATCCCATCGCCGAGACGGCTCATTGACGCGGCTAACACTCAATCGAAACCGAACTTTCTCGCATCTTTCCATCTCCACTGCGACTCACTCGTTTTAAAGAGTTGCTCCTCATTGGAATCACCATAATTCAGGGGCTAATCACCCTGCACGCACTCAAAATTCGAGGAGAACCCTTGAAAACAATGGTGACTTCGGCTCAACGGGGTATTCGTCCATATGCACGTTGAGCGCGATGCACTCATAATCGAGCTCAAATTGGACCAAATGCGTCAAACACGAGATGCGCATCCCGGCCTGTCGGTCGGCTTCGGTCGGAAATCACCGAGTCATGTGGCCGCCGAGCGAGACCCACAATAAATCTGCGCCGCGCCGTGCTCCGCAATGAATTGATATAGACGTCATCGTGTCCGCTCGATCTCCAGTAGGCCTCGAGATCACAGGTCTCGTCGATTCGCCTGATCAAACAGATTGTGACGTTCCGAGAGGAGTCCTGATCCATCCCGACGTCCTTGTGCTCATCAATTTCATGAGCATAGTGAGTGAATCGGATATTTCGCATTCTTCTGGACAGGCCGTGCTAGGTGCTCGGGAGTTCGGAGACTTTGAGGGCCAGAGCTGTACCTGTCGGATAGTTCTGGATTCGGGTGGCAGACCTAAATACCCGGTCGGGATCACGGCGATCGGAATGATGACCAACAAAATCACAAGAGCAATGGGAGGAGACGATGTCAGGCGAGTGCTGACTCCTTCGTACCGAGAACTGGGTCCAGAGAGTCTGCTACGGGGACAGCCAGATCCCGAAAGGGAAAATACCCTGTTGCAAAAATACGGGATTGACTCGCGCATATCCCAGCCGGTCGCCCAATCAAAATGATCTCGTATGGAATGACAGTTTCCGCGGTCTCACGAGGTGTTTTGAATGACTTGTCGAAAGGTAGAGAGGAGAGCACCCAGCAGTTTCCGGAGCTCCAAGAAACGTACCGCGTGAAGTTTCCGCGAGAGCCTCACTGACTCGACTCGGGCGAAAACATTCGCGCCATAATTGTCTCCAATGCCGTCGCTCCCTTGTCAACAGAAATACGGCGAGGTATCGACGTACCTTACATAGCGGTTGTTCTCCTACTGCTGCACCGGCTACTTTCGCTCCTGGGGTTATCTTCGAGTCCGAATCTGCGGTCGGCTCCGCAAGAATCAGGGGCTCGGACTTCGTTCCCCCTCCACTATCTCCCTGCTTGTCCGTATCGGTTCCCGTCATGACTGCGAAATCAGGGAGGCGCCCGCTCCTCGCGAAGGTCGCGAGCTCAGCGGGAATCACGCACTCGAAACGTAGCGAAGGGAGTCGGGCTCGGTCGGACTTCGTTCTCCGTCCCAAACGATGATATCTCAATTGAGCGAATCGGAGACAATGTTCCCGACACCGTTTCACTGCGATGAGCGGCTATCCCAGCAGGAGTCGGAACAGAATTGCGACACGCACTGAGGCGTATCGTCGGTCTGACCACCCGATGACGATAGCTGATATCGGAGCGGTCCGCACCGAGAAGCCGCACTCTCACAGGCGAGGTTCTCAAAGGATCGGATTAAACTACAGACAAGCCTTTCCTTTGATTTCGATCACAGATCTTTCCGCACGACAAGAGAAGTTTTCGTTTCTAGTTTACAAATAAAGACCAGCAAGGACGTTGGGAGAGCGCGATTCACGGATCGTCGAACAGCCCCGCCCACTTGTCACTTGCTGCCTTCCAATAAATGTTTTTGAGCGATTCTGACGTGAACTCCGCAATGGCTCGCCATCCCTTGATTTGTCGAATCTCCGGTAACGCGAGCAATATTGTGGACACGTTCTCTAGGAATTCGATGTCCGCCTTTTGAATGACATGTTCGACAACGTTATTACATCCCATCGGAACGAGGGGCACTTCTCCAAAGTAAACTTCTTACCCGGACAGCCAACGAACTTTGCGTGCACGACTCCATGAACCTTCTGATGGCGATCTTCACCGCCACGGCCCCTCATATAGGGCCGATACCAAGGTTCCCGCTCCGAGGAGCCATCTCTAGCTCCCGATGGATGGCGAGAGATGACGCGAACTTCGACTGGAGACCGAGCAACTTGTCACTTCAGCTGACAGCGCGCTCGGGCCTACGCGAGCCCAACATCATCTCTTCCTCTGAGGGATAAGACTCTCTGAGAGATAGCTTCCCCAGATAGTTCGATATGTGAATTACATCGACGGATGGTCGGCGTCGGCCTCGCATGGACATATGGATCGCCCTTCTGGCGTAAACACGACCTTGGGTCCCGAGCGCAGCCAGCCGGATGGCCGGCGCGTGAAGCCCTCGTCACTTTGACTTCAAGGAAACATATTTGATCCCGTCGAGACCGAAAGCAAACAGAATCCGGACCCTCCAGGCGGAAATTGGCGAAACCTAGGGTCACGCACAAGGCTTAAGGGGAAAGGCTCATTTCTTGACCAATCTTGCAATGCCTCCCTCCCAGATGGATGGATGTTGGGGGAACGGACAGTGAGCTCAGTTGCAACATGAGAACCGGCCATCGGTTAGGTTGGAAATGCCGCATGGGAGCAGGACTGACTATTTCTCTTTTTAATAACTTTCACCCTCCGGAACTAGACACTTGAATTATTTCGCAGACGAGACGTCATGAAAGAGCTGAAACACGAACGCTGCGTCTCGGGAGTGTCCTTTCCCCATAATGGTCGCCAACATTAGCTTTAATGAGCCGCGATCATATTTCGAAGAGCCGGCTGTTGACTCGAACGCCCCGCGCAGATAATAAGTCATCGATGAGGCAAACGGCGCAGACATCAGGACACAGAGATATCGCGCCAAGATGAATCCAGAGAATTGGACCCGAAGCGCAAAGCTCGAATCCGGCCCCGAACTGTTCTGTACGGAGAGCTCAGAGAACGCTCTCTGGGACGTCGGTCGCTTAGGAAACTATCTCCCGAAATTCGAAAGAAATCGCATGCTTTCAATATTCCTACAGTGGCGACGAATCACTCTGATGGCTGGTGACGTCGGAGTATCACGTGGATTTCAATTATAAGTCGCGCAGCCCCGCGGTCGCAAGCCCTCTCACAGTCTCATCGAGGAGAGGGGACCATCAGTGTCCCTCTCCACGTAGATGGTCGGCTTGTTGGCCATTGGCTGTGTGCGCTATGACGTCGAGCCTCCGCGGTGTCGAGTGACTTCCTCACGTACACTGCACGGCACGGGAAAGCCTGGAGCACACAGAAGGCTCGATAGAGTCAGATTGCTGACGATTGAATTGAATTTCATCCGCGAGGAGCAAACTACCCGAATCCTACGGAGATGGATCTCAAAGCGTTCGATCGAAGCTCTGCAGACATAAATCGTACCTTGTATCTCCGGAGAGGGATGCGTGAGTGACTAGGCGGAGACCAATTCAGCTGCCTGGAGCGTTGTTCCCTGATCAGTTCAGTTCTCGGGAACATTCTCCGCCAGGAGTCGGAGCATAGCCTCTCTTCGAATACCAAGGTCATTTTACGATTTTCGAAGATTACTTCATCATCCATCACTTATGATACTCAATCATACTTGCCGGTATGCTTGGATATCGACAGCAAAAAAACTCTCGACTTCATTTTGTCGAGGTGAAGTTCGGTTCATTCAGACAGCAATGACAGGGCTCAGTCAGGCCGATGAGATCTTCTTGTCTTCCTCGTTCATCTCAGAGTTTACTATTATATTATTATAGTGTAGTCGAGGCTATGGGAGGAGCGAGTCTGTCACCGGACTTTCCCGCTTCCTGAGCAACTCCTACGCACGCCTTCTAAACTCATGTTGATCGACTGCGAGACCCTGATTGCTGTGTCAAAAAGTGAAGTCAGACTAATCGCAATGGGACAAAACGGGTCAACACGTGGTAGTGAATTTCATCAAGAAGGAATTAACCGGAGCAAGTACGAAGTCATTGATCAGCGCTTGATAGCTTTCGGAACAAGCTCCCCGAGCACGGGCGCTCAGTACTTAGAGCATCATTATTCTAGTCAACGTCTTGTCGTTGAAGCTTGCGCTCTGGCGCTAACTATCGCCGACAAGTGACGCGATCCATTGCAAACCTCGGCATAACCAGCTGCTGACAGTGCCTACATGATCGAAAGTTCAGCCTGGACAGTGCGTTCCGAGCTGGGTCTATCAGATTGAGGAAAAATGGGAGTCTCGGGTTCCAAGGGGAACTCGACTCTTTATACAAACTGATACTGTCAATAATTCGAGTCTGATCTCGAGACGACACATCCCGGGAAGCAGACCGAAGTATTGTTCGGAGCAGCTATCCTTGACTTAAAGACCTGTTTCCATAGCCTGCTGATTCGGCTCCGCCAGGTTAAGGGTCTGGATTGCTCGTGTCGATCAGAGGTCTGCATCGGGATTTGTTGTACACTATTTGGAAAGAACCGAGGGCGGATGGAAGCGCGAAAGAAAAGTTTCGTTGCGTTGACGATCCAGAACTCGACTCTACTCGGTTCTCGGTTTCTCCTCAGCGCATCGATGATTCCGAGGAGGGTCTTTGTGGCTCTAGAATGGGCAACACTTCTCGCTTCCGGACGCGCCGTGAGCCTCGGCTTCATCGATGTCCTCGGCACAGAAGAATCGTCGGGCGTTTTTCCCCTGATCGCGTCAATTTCGCGTTTCTTCGATTCCCTTCAACGAGGCGCATTGCGCGGAACAGTCGGGAAAAAAATTATCGGAGAACTTCTTGTGTTCCCCTGTGGACCGATTCGGCCGAGGATGGCGAAAATCGGAGTCCGCGTCACCAGGAGAGATGAGAGTGAACGCCGTGTGGATATCGCCTAGAGGTCGAGTTGACAAACGAATCAGTTAGTTGCCGAACGCTCACGGGAAAACATCGTTCCATTAATCTATTCGGGTGGCACGTAAGAGATCGTCGTCTGTAAACACAGAGATCACTATGGAGACCACGACTCTTCGGAGCAGTCCATTGCTCGATCAGAACGATGGGCGAGCCGCTGTATCGAATCCTGCCTGTATCACGTCTTGAATCTCACAGGGCATATCGTCACGGCCGATCCGCATTCCAGAGGAATTTCGAGCTCTACCTGTCCCTGATAGGGAATAGTGATCACGAGGAGGTGTGCCGGTGACGTTTTCGAAGTTCCTCAGCAGCTATCGATGGGAGCGGGCCTCGAGCGCACTGATCCCCGGTCCTTCGGTTCCACACATCCGAGCCGGAAAGAGACGAGGCGGCATTTCTACGTTTGAGTCTCGCAGAATATTCTCTCTGATAAGAAAGCTCTTCCAAACATCGATGCTTATGTCAAGATGGCCTCGAAAACCATGTCGAGGTAATCCGCTCTATCTGAAGTTCCACGTACGATTTTCTACTCCGAGTACGACCCTCCCTCTCTCACCCGACGAAATCCAACCTCTTTCCGGAGTTTGCTTGGAGGCGCATCGGTCTTTAGAATCTTGGAGAATTACCTTGTCTCTTTTCGTCTCCGGATCCTTTGGCTTAGGGGTCATCGTTCCCTGATTCCGAATTTCCCACCGTTCTCAGAACGAGAGCGTGAATGGAATGCTTCGATGCAAGAATGGGCGACACTGATCGCTAGAGTCACGTGGAGTCGCCGAACGGTGATTGACGTGTGAATCTCGCAATGGCAACCGGAAGTCTCTGGAAGATCAGATCTGCGCTCGCAGCTACTGGAACGACTCTAGGTGCACTGTGTAACCAACGTGTCTTACTAGACTGAAGGAAGAGAGAACCTTGCTTGCGAGATCCATACGACCATCGTAACTCCGTTCACCTTCGCAATGAGGGAGAGGGATGCAGTGAGCGAGGGTTTTCATGAACTTCAACTTCATAGCGACCGCTGCAATTTCCGATCCTCCACTCGCTGGGTATATCGAAAATATCTTCATCGATATATGATGGAAGCCCATTTTGGACTTCGCGGCCTTGAAATCGTTTTGATCACAGACGAGAACCTTCGCAAGATCCTCCGAGCTGTCGGCCGGTCAACTCGAAGTGCACCGCCCGACCCATGTGATAATTTCCGAGTGTCGAGCTTTGCGGCGGGACGCTCATCCCGCTGATCGTTGGTATTAGGGTATCGCCGAAATAATAGATCTGCACCACTCCAAAACGCCGCGGCGAGAAGGCTGCGGCGCGAGGAGCCTAGCGGATATTTGTTCGTATCGATTATCATCATGAATCAAGGGCTCTTTTTCCCTTAGTCCCTCTGTCTTTTTTGGGCCTCTGGGAGGATTCCAGAAAACCGCCGTTAACACAAAAACCACAACCCTCGGGAATCCGAGCAGGGAAAAAGTTCCTCTTCAGAGCGACAACGAGAACGCGGGCCATGATCAGGCAATCGATAAAGAATGAAAGGCTCATAAACTTCGCCTGGATGCCCTTTTTTACTCATCCCTGTCGCGATAAATTCGGGAAGAGCGACTGGTGAGTCCGCCGTTTGGGCTGATGCTGACGGGCACTTGGGGTTCACGATCGTAATGAATCTCCGTCTATAAGATAACTCTAGGATCGTTCGTCTGAGTGATGAAGAATCGGGTCAGAGCAAGATCATTGGAGCAGACTGAGAGAACTGCTTCCTCCGATTCCGGACATATCCAGTGAAGATTTCCGGATGATCATCAATCATCAGAAAACTTCTCTAATTCCCCTCGGTCCCTCGTGATTATTTGCGATGCGAATGAAAATCCATAGGCGATAGACCGGTGAGACTCCATTCGGAATCGTCGCTTTTACACCGATCTGAGCATTCAGGAACGCGTCTCCCATAGGCAGCGCCGCCACGCCATTTGTCTATAGCTCGGCCTAACTCTGTGAACAACTCCCATGGTCGGAAGGTTGAGGAAGGACGGAACCTTATACAGTGTCTTAATAGACGAATGAAGCGAATCCAGACGAAGGGAGCGGATGCAAGCGAACGCGAATGCAACGACGCTGTGGTACGCGCGCTGGAGGCTCTGTATGATCTTAGCACAATGAAATCTCACATCAGGGAACAGAGAAACGGCGATGGGAGAAAAGCGTGGATTTCGCGAATAAGATCGCGGTGAGAACCGAGAATAGCTCCTGGGGGACGAAGACGCTGTCTTCAGTCCCGAGCAGCTTACAACAGGCAAGAGACCTTGATACATGTCGATAGAAGAATTATGAGTCGGATGTCTCTCGTCTCGAAGCTCCCGATATAGTTCGTAGAGCAGCGGCTGCTGGAAGCGTTCGCAAACAAATGGCCATCGTGGCGAGTTACCATTCTTTTATAAATAGCTGAGCGAGAGCTACCGGCTCGATTGTCGTCATCGGGTCGAGATAAAGTGTGGCTTCAAGACTGGTACGATGCTTCATTCAATCAAAAACGATTCACGCAGATTGGAAAATTCTCTCAGACGATTCCGGGACCTCGACTGCGATACCAAATTCGACCGCTGACCCAGCCGTCTCGGAACAGTCCACTTTCTCGCTCTGGGGGATCGTCATGGTCCGAACGAAAACTTCGCAAAAATTACGACGTTTTTCCGAGTTTTCCCTTCGCAAAGCGACGCTCAGGAGTTTCCGAAGAATCTCGGACTGCGAGTGGCGTGCGAACGGAGAGTTTGGCTCACTCCAAGGCGGGCGGAAGGCTCGAATTCTGAATTAGAGATTCAGGATTCTCTTCCGCGAGCGCATCAGAGATCGGAGTGCGGTCAGTCTTGTTAGATATCAACACCCCAGCAGAGATCGTGAGCTTAGGGGAGTAATATCGATCACGAGGCTTAATTGGAAGTTAAGAAAGGATAGGAGGTCGGACGCCTCATCACACACAAAAGCAGCAGCTTCGGGAGCTGTTCGAATCTGTTACCTTGTGGCTGTCTCTGTATCGGGACCCTTGCAGAGTTTTTCTACCCGTCAATGGTTCCTGCGAACGAGAAACTCAAGAGTCATGGTCATGACGAATCCTGCCGCATCGGAGGAGGTTTTCAAGCTTCGTGTAATATGGGCTCATTCATAGATTGATTTCATTGCCAGGTCAGAGGAAGAGACCGCTCGAGAGCGCTCAAGAAAAGAGTGGTTCTGTAGGGAGGAGTTGGAAGCAACGAGAATGAGGAAACTCAGATCGTTCAGGTTTTCCTCTACGAGAGCTTCAAGGTCGCTCAATCTGTAGAACTTTGGTGTGATGTTTGTCAACATAACGCCTGACTGAGGGCACAGATCAATTCCGAGATGTCAATCTGACTGAACGGTGGGAGACCGCGAGTGATCTAGTCCTAATTCACTCCAAGGTCGCTGTGTTCATTTCGCCGCAATCGGTGACAAACATGTGTCGATGCCTACCGTTTCGTATTCGACTCGAACCTAAGACGTGAGCGACATCATTCAATGTTGGTAGATTGCTCCGAAAAAGAACGCGAGGTTTCCCTAAAGTGGCTCGTTTAGATTCATTCGACTCTCCGTGATATTCTTTCGACCGCTCCTTTCAAGTGAAGGTGTTCTCGGATCGAATTAGAGCTATGATTCGCTTCCGAGACCTGTTCCGAAGCTTGTGCTTAGTTTCAGCTTCGATCGCTCTGATTATTTTCCCGGGAAATAGCCGGGGGAAGCACCGGGATCATGGGCACTCGGTATTAATCTCGAGACTAGAGGAGCGAGTCGCGCAACGTTTCCAAGAAGTAGAGGAATACGCTCGACCCATGCCAGAAATGACGGCTCCAACGATGGCGGAGGGCCGAGTACGGGAGTACGAAGTCTCCCTAACACCACGATGTAGTAGCGGATACTCCGGCCTGATCAACGAGCGGGGAAGATCAGTTGACAATTCTTTGCTTCCGGAAAACCCTCTCCCTGAGCCCGGGAAATCATTCTCGAATCCCGAAGCTGAGAGCGGGATCATTAATGACTGAGCCACGCTGCCCGAGATGAAAGCGCTCATCGACTTACAAACTAGTCCGCAGGACCACGGGCATGCCTCAGGTTCGGAGGGGAGGATCAAGGTTACGCTGACAGAGATGTTGATCGTGAAGAATCGCGGGACATCATTGACAGGAAAGTTCAGAAAGATCCTTCTCTAGTGACGATGCAGACCGAACTTCGCGGAGTACTTACGTGTTCTCCGTCCGAGCCATGACGTCCGTGAATTGGGAGCGTAGAAATGTCCGTCGCACTCGATGCCAATGAATCGGCTGGCGAAGGACTTTTCGAGCGGTCCTTGTCCGGCACGTGCAGATAGGCCATCTCGTTGAGCGCCGACCGCACCGCTGACGGGTCCATGACAGTTGACAGCTGCCTCACTGCAGTGAACTCAGCAGATGCTCACTTGGAACCGAGGTCAAACGGGGGCAATGCTCGGCGAGATTCCTTCTGCACCGCGGTGCCGATGTTCGGGTAGATAGCGAAACTGCAAACAACCGTCCGTTCCTCCGTTGGTCCACCTGCTCGGAAGCCAGCTGCTTCCTCTGGAGGCGCAGGAGAGATGCAGACGCAAGTCACAGCGAGGCGGAGCACTCGATCCCTACGGATCTCGATTCCAGCCCGCTCCTTGAGGAGCGAAGGAGTGTATTCCGGGTGACTGAGTTGAGCCAGATAGCAAACGAGTCTGTCGGAAGCGCTGCCACCTCTGCGTGTTCACACCCTGTCGAATCGCACAACTTGATAACCTGATAACCTTCAGATTGCACCGAGACGGGTGGAAGCGAGCGCGTGCTCGGAATGTTTTTATTGGAATTCTGCTGTGACGCAAGCGGGGGTGAAGAAGCTGGACGAGGAGACGAGGCGGGTCGGATCTCTGGTTCGCGCAGAAGGGGGTTCCTCGCACCAGCTCCCGGCGAGAACAAATCGGAGAAAGTCGGTGAAACACCAGCACACACACTTCGAGTTCGCAGCTGAGCCCACGTTGTCATATACCAGAGTAGAAGCTCGGGCCCAAGCCCTTGCTGCTACGAGGGCCTGGTGAGGGCAGCCGCCGCGGCGGACGGTCCGGAGCGAAAGGGAGTTCACATGACGGAGAGCCATGCCTCATGCCGCCTGTTCACAGCGCCTGACCTCGGCTTAGTGATCAGCTGTGGGAGCGAGCACAGATCACAGGGTCGACGGTCGACGCACACTGGAAATTCGGGAAAACGGCACGACAGAGCCAAAGCAAACCTCGTAGGACGTTGACGGCTTGGCTGTTGATCGTCTCTTGTGCGCCTGGCTTGAGGCAACAGCGTCGCAGGAAATCTTCTCAGCACGACCTCATGCATAGATCTCCCCTCTTCTATGACCCGCAAATTCTCTCTTCGGCGACTTTCATCGGGCATCTTGGAACGGGAGGAGAATGGGGTCGATAATCACTGATCACATGCGATCCCGGGTGGCGCTTCTTCCTTCATCACGAGAATTGTGGGAAGGTCTCTCTGTTTCGCCGAAGGACGTAAAGGAATCGAAATTCGAACGAATCCTTGAGTCACTAGGAATGCAGATATTTTCCGGGTGTCGCTTTTCCCTGAGCGATCCCTCCAAGCGAGCTGTCGGCTCCCTTTTTCCATTCTCGGCGTGTCAAGATAAGCACGGAGAAGCATAGCTGAGGAACCCCCGAATGACGGGGAGAGGGGGCTGGGAGCCCGTGAATTCGCACCAATTCCGTTCATATTTATTGGTGAAAACATCAGGGAGGATTTCCGCGGAATTCGAATATATTAGCATTTATATCAGCTCACAGAACATTGCATGTTTCCTCATTCGCTCCACTGATACCTAGCAGAAAATTTGTCCGGTCTCCTAGAATTTATGAAATCGTCCAGCGTACGTCTATGATCGAGCAAACGTGATGAGCAGCGGGGAATTGAGAGCTTGAACAGGACAGAACTAGCTCCACGTCCATACTTCCCCTCGAGGATCTCCGAACTCGATCCGCGATCAATCGAGGGATATAATCCGCAATTCTGAATGATACTTTGACGAGAGTTCGAGATAGTGTAGCTTGTCAAGGGCCTCAGGAATCCGAGCAATCAGAGCCCGCATCCTCGATCTCGACCAGCGAGTCTTGGCGGACAAGGCGCGGAACGATGGTAGAGGATTCGATGCTGCTCACGGAATACGCTTCTCACATGGGATCGAGCATTGACCAGGAAGCGAAAAAATGGCACATTTGCCAGAAGTCTCCTCTAGAATCATACTCTAGACGAGCTTCTGCGCGGGAATCTCTCATCGGAGCTCAGCGGCGTGAGGGAGCGTATTCGACATGAAATGAGCCCCCCTCAGAACATGCTGTGGGGGACGAGTGTCGCGTCCTGCCTCGAAGCCCGGGAGAGGGAACGAGCTCATGGATAGTGATCCAAATAATTCATCTTATTGGCACTGAGGACCCGCGAGCTAGGCTCCAAAATCTTTCTCTGGACATGGGATTGTGCGACAAGCGAAGCTTGGGCTGATAGAGATTTGTTACTGATTCTTAAGGTCAATCGTGGAAACATTTTTCGTGGAATATTTACATATACATATGATGAGCCGGAGTTCCCGGACAGGAATCTCGGTGGGGGCGGGAGCAGGTGACCCGACACTCGGGCACGAACATTCCATGGGATAAGTGATACGATAGATTTCTCGATGATTTATCTACATAAGTGTGGTGTCGGCAGTATTCGGACCCTGACTCCGGTACCTCTGGGCTTGTTGTTGTTGTTGCTGCTGCTGTTGTTGTTGAGCTTTGGAAGCGAAAAGCTCTCGGACTAGTTGAGTCTTCTCCGCTTCCAGCTGCGCGATGAGCTCCTGTCTCTTCTCCAAGTCCGAGCTCAGTTTGAGATTGTGTTCCCGTAGTCGTTTGGCCTCACCCGGAGAAATCTTAATGTCGAAAGAGCTTGCTTCGTATTTCCTCCTCGAAGTTCATGCCTAGATTGAAATCTCCTAGGATAGATGTCATACAGGGTCTAGAAGCTATGAATTACCTGTGTCTGATTCTGTGTTTGGAGCGAGTTCTGGTTCACATTGATGTTGAGCAGGGCTAAATTCATGTGCAGCGGGAACGAAGGCTTATCTCCACTGTCGACCAGAGCGGCGAGATGTTGATTTACGTCAAGGATTCGAGCCATTTGGAAGCGAAGTCTCTCCTCATGGGCATCCGTGGAGTACTCCTGAATTGTTTATCAAAATATATTTCATGAAAACCAGCTCGATCGGAAGCGAATTTCGGTCCGAGAGCTTCCACTGACAGCTAGAAAACGCGCCCGAGAGGCTACTCACTGGTGCTCCATGGGCTGGAACGGGCGCTCGGAGCTTCTCTTGTAGGAGACTTAGCTGCCGTAGATACCAATCCTTGGCTCGTTCCACAGCTTGCAAACCTTTTTGCAAAACATCTCTCTCCTGTTCGAGCAGCTTCAATCGACGTATCGTGCCGTATTCAATGCCTGCAAAATGAATTGGGGGAGACCCATGAGCCTTCGGCATACGATGGGAGCGTCGATGGACTCAGGAATATGTTCCCGCTCGATCCGAAAATTCGGGGAGAGATAGGGGTAACTGCGGCCGTCGAAAGCTCATCGATTGGAAGGAGCTCCGATTTTACTCACCGTGGGCCAGCGTGTGCCGTCGCGGTTCTCTCCTTCGCGGTGGTTTCTCTGGTTTCGACCCTCCCGGTGTCTGCAACGGAGTAGCCATTTGTCTCATGGGCACTTGCTGGGTTTGTTGAACGTTCGCGGTGGAGCTTTGACAAGGGACCGCTCGAACCATAGCATTGAGCTCGCGAGAATTGGGATTCCGGACCAAAGCGGCCTAATGGAAGGGAAAATGGACTTAATCGTAGACAATTGAGATCGAAGCTCATATTCAGATACGAAAATGGACTCACTTGAGGCTGAGAATTCGGCACGCTTGTAGCTGTAGGACTCGGTGTTGATTGATGCATCGGCGCACTCCCGCTCATCTGAGACTGGAATGACACCAGAGACAATCTTTTCTCAGCAGTTCTGCCCTAATATTACGCCGCAAGTGTGCGCGCTCGCGTTACGTCAATCCGTGGCTTCTCTCGTAATGTACGTACCTGGGGAGAATGATTGAAGTTCGGTGCTGATGGTTGCGGTATAAAACGGGGCAGATGAGCGATTTGAGTTTTGGCCGCTGTGTTCCCGCGATGAATCGCAGAGCCCAGAGACACCTGGGGAAAGGGTTTTCGGTTTTGGAACTCCTCTTTAGATACCGTCTCCACGCGGATGCCCGTCTCTTGGCAACCTGATCGTGCTTTATACCTTATTCGCAGTGTGGACTTGATCAGTCTGAATCGGAGCCATCATCGCGCTCGTGGAGCTCTGCAAAGGTGGAAATTCGGACGTGTAGGGTACCATTTCAAGGAATCTGCCTTGGAAATCGCCGACGAATAGGCTCCTCAGCTTCTGACATGCCTGACTCGGCTCCCATTTGCCCTGAGAGTACTGCTGTAGATACTGATCCTGGTGGTTGAGATGGGTCGCATGATGATGGTGATTATGATTATGGTGATGGCCTTGATTGTGGATCTCGTGCATGACGGAATACGCGCGTCGGGCAGCGGGCGGAGCGACCGCGGGAAAGGAGCTCTTCGCAGGCGGCAGCAGAACTTGATTCTGACCTTGCATCGAACTCATCGAGAAAGGACTCCTGTAATGACCGGAATATTCCGTGAAGCTATGAGGAGGAGACAGAGAGAGCGCGGTAAGATCCCAGCCAGAACCTCTCCGTGAGAGCGGCGCCGGTGGTCGCTACGAACCTGTTTGCCGCTTCATTCATTGATTTCGGCATCGTCTCCGCGATACTTGACACGGATCGCGTCATCGGTGGTTTGATTGCTCTCTGAGTATGAGTCGCCGAATTTTCGAGGAAATTGTCTGGGGTCCGAGAGCGACCTGTTCCGGGGCACAAAATATATTCCATATGAATGATGGAGCTAGCATTAAACGGTCGAATGTATGGGCTGTATCCTGGAATACACTAGCGAGCGAGAGAGTCAAATCGTGAAGTTCACCTTCCGGGTTCGTCGGCACGGGAGTGACTTGGAACTTCGATGATTCAATCGGTCCCCCCGAGGGCCGAACGATTCGACGGATCTGCTATCGAACGGATGTTAGTTGATAGAGACGGCGAAAGGGAGTCGATTTCCCCGAGCTCGACCTCATTCGGAAGATTGAAGGAGCTGATATTCAGATGGAGGAAAAAGCGATCAAGTCTCACATTACTCTGCGGTGGCGGTCCCAGCCTCCCCGGAGGAGGAATCCGATTCCCGATATGGGACGGTGTATTGGCCGAAAGGCCGGAAGCGCCCGATGGTCTGCCCAGAACTTTTACACCTGATGGCGGCCGCACCTTGAAATTCGAAATGGAACATCTGAACCCGGTTGCGAATGTTTCACGAAGCGCGACTTGGAACAAAAGATGATGGAATAATGGACGATTTATTACCATTGAGCTCGATGGCGGTAATATTGCTGTCCGCTGATGACCTGTTTGTTGTTGTTGTTGTTGCTGCTGTGGCTGTGTATGGTGGGTGGTCGACGGAGAGAATGGTTTTCTGGGCGGAAGCTTCGATTGAGTCGGAGTTTCCAATAGATTCTCGAACGATACGTTCAGTTTAGGTACAGCCGGATTCAAGTCACCCTGTAATCGGATCGGTTCGATTTAATGGAGGAAATACAAGGAAGCCGTCAGGCATGTATAACTCGGACAGTCCCGGCCGAGCATGCAGTCTCCTATTGCTTTTTTACCTGATTGGAAAGCGTGTCACTGGTGTTGGGTGGCTCACTCGCCGCTCTCGTAGGCGCGAAACTGGTATCGCTTACTTTACCCTGAAATCCCGATGGGTCTTGAGAACGTAGTGGTCGAATCATAGGAACAGGTCTCAGAATGAGGCTCTGAGACCCACGGAACTGACTGAGTAAGGAGGTTACGGAGTCCCGACGGCACCTCAGTCTATTTCGGTCGAAGCTATCTCGGTATCTTGGAGGAAGCTTCCATGACCTGAACCCAACCGATTGGAGTACATATTTCTTCAACTCCTATAGCCAGGTACACGGAACCGGGAGGTCGATTGTAAACGATAGCTTCGGCGATGAAACCTCGACGGGAGGGTTCGGGGCGACTTGTTCAGGGGAGCAAGGAGAAAGAGGGCATCGACTACCTTGTACGGCATGTCCCGGAATTCGCCCAAGAATATCTAATGAGAAAACCGAGCGGACTGAGTTGGATCCCCCTCGATAAGCGAATTCCTCCGTAGTCACTTTGCCGAGAGGAAGACAATGATCTGCCCGGTCCAAGCCTCGAATGGAAGATCGTATGAGATCATGGGAATTCACCGTGATTGTTGATCGAACAAGGATCAATACCATCAATCGAAGGATTTGATGGAGCTTATGCTATGGATAGTGGTTCCAGCTACAAACAGCGCTGTCACATCACTCACCGATGCTGAACTCGCAGCTACTCCGCTCTGCTGGAGAGTGCTCCCGTTGCTGAACTTCGGGAGTCGACTCCCGCCGTTGACGACAGCGTTGACGCTGTTGCTTGGAGTCGTCGGGGCGAACCTGATTTTGGAGATTGGGAGGGAAAGTTTATTCCGAGACGTTCGAAATGAATGCAATGTTTGTCTCCGGATGCCTAAAATCGTCTCGTTAGCAATAAAATCCACGTATACCTCGGAGCATCGAGAGAGCCGGCTACAGAGGAGCTGGAGCCCTGACGGCGGTGGCTGAGATGCGACTGCAAGGGGAACACTCCGTGGGATTGTTTTCGAGAGCAAAAAAGCAGAGAGGGGCAATTCTATCGAAAGGAACCTACATGGTCCAGAAGGATATTTCTCTGAGAAACAGGATTTTGACTGCTGCCTGACGTCACCGACGAGACGCTGTTGTTGCAGGACGACTTTGGCGATTCCGCTAATAGAGCCATCTTCAGGGCCGAGCAGAATCTATAGACAAAGAGAGTGACATAAGATAAAGGATGCGTTTATATCCTATCGTGGACCGGAGGATACGACAAGTCACGAACCTGTCGAAACTCAAGAGTTGTCCCTTGTTCTGAGCGGCAACGTTTCTCAAGTTGTCCAAAACTTGAGCATTCGCTTGCTTTGCCCATCGTGTTTCAATGTCCCGCAGCGGAACTAAGCCCGATCCTAGCGAAAATAATCGGCCATTAAACTCTCAATCAGCCCATCCGTGGTCGCTTCATTCGGTGGGACCCTCTTGAGAATGCGCAGCTCCTCGTGGACGTGCCCGAGCGATCCATGGGCCGCGGCACAAAACTTGAGCGAGCTCTTCGCGAAATCGGAGGCTCTTCAGAATATGTGTACAATCAAGTCAACTAGCTGGAAGGGTCGTCGAAATTCCGCAGCCCAGACAGTTTCAAATATATAGAACACTTTCGGGGATACGGGAATGGCGAATCCTGGAAGCTCTTGCCAAGCCGAGATTGTTCTCCGTTCGAGTAGGATTTTCCCGAGATTACGATCACAGCCTCCATATCGGAGATTCTAGTCGCGGTCGACGACACAGCGACTCCAGGAAGAGGAACCCACCTTTCTCATCGAGAATATCGAATAGAGTCTTCATAGATTGCACGAATTTGGCGGGGAGCCCGTCGTAGGGACCCGGGTAAGACGGCGGCCCCGGAGAAGGCATCGTCGGAGGTCCCGGTCCGTTTGTCAATGCACTCGCACAGCTTGATGTTGATGAGTGGCGACCCATTTCGCGCCCTCTGAGTTCTACAGAGCTCTGCAAGTTCGTTGAGAGAGATGAATACTCCGGAAAACTTGATTTCTGCGATGATTCATTTGGTTTATCAAACGACAACAAGCACAATTAAGCGTATTGGTGCTCAGAATTTCTCGCCCGGTGTATTATACGTAGTAATTAAAACGAGAGTTACAGGCTCACGGAAGAGGAATCTTGCGCAAGAAATCCTTGTCTATGCTAGTTTTTGATGAATATTCCATGATAGGCAGCTGTGCCACAATGGGGAGAACACATGGTAGATCGAAGCGTATCGATGGCGCTCGGAAACCCGGTATTTAATTCACCGCTCAACATTCGCACTCACCATGCACTGGGACTCTTTAATGCACTGTACGTGTGGAGTCCGACTGTTCGGGAGCGTCTCGGAGCAAACACCTGTGCGAGAGAGTTCAGCCCGCTTATCGAGACAGGCGACCGCATGAAGCAATGTTTTCGTACGGAGAGAAGAAGCTCACGAAAAGCTAACGTGGCGGCAGGCAACGTCGAGCGCCCAGAGGAGCCTTCGATTCGGCCGCCAGACCGGTTCGTTTCTATGAGGGAGAAGAAAGCTTCTTCTTCTGTTGAGAGAGAGAGAGTCTAGAACAAGAACGGATCGCCGTCAGTCGGCTCACTGACTGACTGACTGACTCGTAGAACTGGGTCGAACTTCGGCAGACGGCGGGTGGCTGGACGGAGGAGCGGACGCACGAACGACCGACCGGACCGACGAAGGTTCGGCAGAAAAGCGCCAACAACGAAAATCTTCGGCCAGAAGCACTCCACCCGCCTGCCCGCTCTTGCCCGCCGTGACCCGATCGCCGCCGTCGGGGTAAGAAGGCGATGCTGACAGTGCATTTGACCGCGAAAACCGTCGACACGCTACGGAGACGTAGTTTTCTTGCCTATAGATGGGATCGAACCGATGTATACACGGAAAGATCGAGGGAAGCTTTAAGCGACGCGCGACGGCTGATCTGCGGAGCGAGGATGAGCTATCATGTCAGGGGAGCCTGCGCTCCTTGGAATCAGCCAGCAATGGAATGAAAGCTCAGCAGATTGCTTCCCTCTACAGCTAATTATCTATCAATTTATTTCCCTTAACCTACGGTCCAATCTCGGGAGACCAGAGCGTCAGGAAAGCTCGCCACGACGGACATTCATTCGCGAGTTCGCTGAATATCGCGCCTCGCTCGAGACAATGCGATGCCGTGAGGGGCTAGCCGGGTGCGAAAATCGGACTCGGTCTTCCTCCATAGCGGAGATCTAGAGTTGCTCAAATTGATTTCGAGATCATTTTCGGGGAACATCAAATTGTTTCCGTGACGTCCCGTGCTCACGGAAGAACATTTCCACAGATCCGAAGTCATCAGCACCTTCGAAATTCCGCTCCTTGCCAAGTGCTGATTGAAGAACCTCTCACAATTCCTCGAATTTCTCATGACTTTTATTGAAGAACAAAGAAGATTGCCGTCACGTGTTATATTATGAGTCATACCTCGAAATGGAAACATCGGGAAATGATTGTACCTAAACACTGCGATCGCCTTCGGCGCAAGCAGGATTTGAATCCCGTTGGCAGCGTCTCCTCGTAGTTTCGTGACGTCTAGAGTTTAGCCTTGGACAGGAACAAGGGAGCGATTGCGTCCAAAGCGCCGCGGTCGGAGACCTCAGCTTGAGCAAACGTTTCTTGAGCGCTTCGAGCACCTTGTACAAGATGGTGGAATGCCAAATCATCCAGGGTGATCCTGCATACCGACGAAACGTCTTTGGGAGCGCCTCTGTACACGGCTCCGGGCAGTTTAGACAAGTCGATGGTCCAGTCACTGCGTTTGGCTCCGTTCTTCGTGATAGCGAAGTGGTAGGCCGTTTTCTTGGACACCTCGATCAGTTGAGGAAGATGAGCCAATCTCTGGGTGACGATGAAGAACTGATAGTCGCTCCATAACTCTTCAGATAGAGGTTGTCCGTCGGAGAGAAGGGGCTCCATGAGTTTGAGCTCCACAACTCGTCCGCTCTTAAGGATCTCCTGCCACAGAGTGTTGAACTTCTGCATGAGCATGATGTTGCCCTTGATTTTGAGGCGACCCTGCATGAAAGCTCTCTGTGGGTTCAGTTTACCCAACATGAGCTGCACAAGGTCCTCGTCGTCTGGAAACGGAGAATTCAGAGATGTGAAGGCGGGAATCGAAGAAATGAGATATACTTCTTATACGGGTAATTTCACGTTCCCGTTTCGATTTCATAAGGGGGAAAAGAGGAATAATTTGCTACTTACCGATAGTGATTTGGACCTCCGGGCTAGCCCCGTTGCGAGGCGCCTCGTTGTACAGGTCTCCTTTCGCACTCTTCAGGTCAGAGGTCCATTCGGAGGCTTTCTTGCCCTTCTTCAGGATCACCCAGTGATACATGCATTTCACCAGCCCAGCGATGTGCTCTCCCATCGCGGGGTCTTGATGGAGATGATAGAGGAAGATGTTGAAAATAAAGTCCGCCTTCACAATCTTGGGGCTGCCTGGGGGTGGTGACAGGCCGCTCGAAGAAGCCGGAACTCCGGGAAGCTTCGCCGCTTCCTCGTTCTCCTCGCGATCCCTGTCATCTGCCCAGAGATCCGCGAGTTTCTGGCTTGCGAGGACGTTGCCCTTCACTTTGAGTTTCTGGCTCATGAAAGCACGCTGCGCATCGAGCCTTCCCGATTGGACCTTGTCGAGAACTTCATCCTCCATGGTCAGAATGCAATCCGGCTTATCTTTCGCCGGACCTTCGTAGCCGCATCCAGCCCCATTCTTCAGATCGAGTGTATACTGATAGGCGAGCTTGCCGCCCTGGAGAATGTCGAATTGGAAAATGGTTTGGATGTCCGCGGCGAGCTCAGGATTCTTCGAAATCTTTTCGTTGGTGTTGGCGAAGATAATTCGGCTGCGCAGCTCACCTCCGCTAGCGGGGGCGCTGGCGGGAGCTTCTTCCTTCTTCTCCGGTGGTGGCTTGAGCAGGAGTCGGAGCTTCTGCATGAGCATGATGTTTCCGCGCACCTTGAGTTTACCGGTCATGAAAGCTCTCTGCGGGTCGAGTTCGCCGACAGCCATGCTGAACATGTCGTCGTCAGTAATTGTGACCACGCAATTGGCTTTGCCGTCCTTACAGGGTCCTTTGTAAACAGCGCCCTTGCCGTTCTTGAGGTCGAGCGTCCATGTTGCAACCGTTTGCCCGTTTTTGGTGATATTGTATTCGTAGATCGCTTGGATCTTCGACGCCAATTCCGGCTGCTCCTCGACACGGAAGCCCATACCTGGAATTTTTCAGATTTTCGAGTCTGACGTGGATGGCCCTCGTGGGATGTTCGACGGTGAGCGAATGCTGATGACAGTATGAGTGTGTAAGAGATCCGTCAACATTCCAAACCTACCTTCGAAGACCAGGTCGGTCTTGAGTTCTTCGCCCGCTGACATTTTCACTTGCGGAGTCGGTACTTGTACGGGAATTGCAGGCGCTGGTGCTTGGACGCTTCGATTTAATTCGATAACTCCTCCACCGATTACAGTCTTTCCGCTCTCGACAGCAATCGATTCGAATACTACACGATTGCCCTCCCTCCACATACGCGTTCTCACGGTCTCTCCTGGTACCACGGGTCCGGTGAATCGAACCTACAAAAATTAAGTTCATCATTAGATCTTGATCGGTTGTGAGCTCGGAGTGTCCGGCGAGTGCTGAGACAATTTGCTGCGAGCCTGCCTGCAGACCTGACATTCTACTTCTCGCTTGCTCTTCGAGGTTCTCTCGGCGCCATCCACGTCTTTTGCGTTTCCTACCGTTCGGAAACCCGCGAGTCTAACTGTCCTCTTCACTGAGACACGTTTGCGACTCCAGAACGAGCACGCGATATGGGACGATGCTAACGATAAGAGGATCTCGAAAGAAAATCCTCGATTTCGATATACTACCAGAGAGAAGGAGATCCCTGGAATACTATTTGCGGATCGATGTTTGTCCGAAATTTCTCCGGACGCCTCTCCAATGCCAGCGTAAGAGCCGGGGACCCGTTCAGGAATTCGAGATAAACGTCTTGAAAGATCGAATGCTCATAGAGCATCGGAATGATTTATCTCCAACCATTCACCTCAGTGCCAGAAATTCCCAGGGATCGATGACAGCGCGTGTGTTCAGAATAAATCGGCAAGAGATCCCGTCATTCCCTGCCTGAGTCTCACGAACGCTCATCCCCTTGAAAATATCACCACAATGCGATACAATAAAACCGTGCAACAGAATAAGGAACATTGTGATAGATCGTCCGTGAATGTCATTCCGGCGACGAAAGACCCATATCCATCGGCATGGTACAGTCAAAGGTGACGGATTCGGAATCGATACACCGACTGCGAGGAGACAGGCTTTCGCGCGTAGAATCATTTATCATCACCTTGGGCCGGGGAAACGACCCGAGGCGCCTTGTGTCAGACTGACACATCCTCAGTATTCGTCCGTACTCGGGAGTAAGGGCATCACTCTCAAATAGAGGAGTGAACTTCGGAGTCTTCGGGGCGAAATAATCACCTAAGTGATCCGGGGACGAACATTCGACCTCAACACGGTAGGGCTTGGATGGCAGATTGAGCCTCCACGACTCGATCTGACACCTAAGGGGTGGCTCAGCGATTTGCCCTATGAGAAAATGAAGTTCCGTTCTATCCAAGCTACTTCCGGACGTGAGCAAATATCGAAGGGAGAACTTCCGCGAATATTTCCGCAAGAACGGCTCGCTGAACGCTCCCGGAGACAAAATGAGGAACTGGACTAGTTTACGCTCAGGACTTCCGCGAAGTTCGGGAATGGTAGATGAATTACTCTATCATTGCCCCCGTTGACTTGATACACTTCCGCGAAGGATTCTCGACGGATGCTCTGCTCAATTAACTAGGTTCGAACAGCTGCCGAACGAAGGATCAACGCGGAAGCTCTGCCGTCGATAAAGCCGCGGTGATTGCTTGGGAAAGCGGCTCGACAAGATTCTCATGAACGCATTGACTCATTCTGATCGAGGGTCGAACTAATTGGACTTCCGAGAAAACGGACCGAGAAAATGGAGATTACTGAAGAATATGCGAGGCTCTGTCGATCTATGCCATTTGAGTTCGAGACTGTCTTTGATAATTATCATCCAGAGCTATCGGATCACCTTACCACGGATGAAGTCGAGTCGAATCTGATCAGATGACGCGTAGAGCGCGAAGTCTCTGAGCACCCATACACTAACGTCTGTAACTTCTCTCACGAAAACGGAACGAAGGACCAGATGCTAGCTCCCGTGAACGAAGTTGAATCTTCGTCAGCTCTTACCACACAGCTCAGGTCACTGCGGGCAAGGGAAGCGCCGGCACCGCTGGTCGGATTTATGTATTTCTCCCAAAAGTGTTCTACTGCGGAGCAAGCCGATCGGAACGAAATTGGCGAGCTCCGTTCGGAATTCGAGTCCCGGAGCCCCGACCGATTTCCGACTCATTTCTACAATATTGAGAGGGATTCATTCTACTCGAACGTTGTCCGAATCACCGCGACCGATGCAGGCGAGGGAGATAGAGAAAATTCCCGACGGCGCGAGCAGTCGACTTCGTCCACCAGGATAGGCAGTCCAAAGCAGGAACTGGATTCGTCTTCTTTGAGGAAAAACGCGGAGCCCTTCGGGAGCGGTGTCAACGTCGCGAGCCGGATCTCTCAGCGTGCGCAAGGTCAAACATCAAACAAAAATCAAGGAGAATTGTCTCGATTGAAGTCGATCCTTCGAGCATGTCTATTATGTACATCAGCTGCATCTCTCCTCCCGGAGAAGGCTAAACGTAGAATGGAGACAAGCGTGACGGACACTTAGCCCATCAGCATGAACTAGATCGAATATATCGCATCGGGATTCAAATCGTCGACGGAGAATACATCGTACCCGTAATTCGAGGTCACGGCGTGATTGCGGCTCAACAATCGATGACAGACCCTTCAGTGCGAACCCACGACGGCGACCCCGTCCTCGACCCAAGTGAAAAGTCAACGCTACGTGGTCATGGCTCCGACAGTCGCATCTCACAACGGAGCTGAGACGGCCCGAGAGATGGAAAAATAACACGAATTCTTCTCGTTTTAACACGAAAAACGAAACCCACCTTGAGCGATTTGAAAGCCGTCATGTCGTTTCCCGCAAAGGCTTTCAAGACGTGTCTCGTTGAGAATCCCAATGAACACAAGCCGTGCATGATCGGTTGAGACCAGCCCCCCATGGCTGCGAATTGTGGATCTATGTGCAAGGGGTTCTTATCTCCACACAAGCGGTAGAGAGCGGCCTGATCGATGCTCGTTCGATCTTCGAGGACTGCATCGGGTTCCCTCTTGGGAATCTCCGCCGTTGGAATAACTTTGCTAGACGAACGGGGACCGCCGAATTTCCCGGCGCCGACGAAGAACACCAGCCATTGACTGTAGGCAACTTTTTCCCCAGTGGACACATCGAATGTGTCGGCGTCGATGATTACAACCGCTCCGGAACCCTTGTCCAAAACGTCGACAACTCGCACCTGGGAGATCGGAAGGAGACCATCGTAGTCTCCGCTATCTAATAAACTGATACAATATGCACACAAGTTAGGAGATGCGCTGGAGCCCAAATCGGGTATGGGATCTAAGTTCCGGAACTCACATCTGTCTTCACGGTTGCCGACGGCGGGAACGGCTTGTAGAGTTCGAGGAACTGCTCCCCGTGCAGCATTCGAGCAGGATCTCCGTTTATACGACTGACAGCCTCGTGAAGCTCTTTCGAGGTGAATACGGCGTTCATCGGTGGTATCACACCGAACGACGGAACAACGCTGAAGTCTTCAGCGTTCTCGTACAGGAATTTCAGATGATCCGGCTGCTTCGTCGAAACGCCCACCGCCAAGTTATACAGGATCGAGGTATCGATATTGTAACGGAATATGGACTCATCCTCAATGACTGTTTGGGCGGTCTGGCTGGGCGATAACGGTTGCATGCTCTCCCCGGATAGAGCTTCAACTACAGAAATCGTCTGTTCTTGGATGCTGCCCAAGGGGCGGGCGCCCTGCAATGACGTCACCTGATCCCAGTTGGCGCGCAAACTCTCGAGGGTCAAGCTCTCGTCGATGAACGCTTTGCCCACCGATCTGAAGAATTGGTACTTGGCAACAAATCCCCCAGCGGCCTCGAAACAGCCTCCGTTCTCTGGGCAGTCTTCGTGGCAGAGCCACACCGTGACTGGGCTGACGAAATGCGGCTTTAACTTCTCAAAAATCTCGGGTGGCATTATATCTTCGGTGAGTCGGGATGCGGCCGTAGGGACAACCGTGTTGACCGCGATATTGTACTTCCGTCCCTCTATAGCCAACGTGTTCGATAGACCGAGTAGGGCCAACTTTGCTGATGAGTAATTCGCCTGTCCGAAATTACCGAAGATTCCAGCGGCAGATGCGGTCATGATCACCTTAAATCATTTTAGGATTATGGACCAATGGCAACATCGGTGGGAATCTCAAAGAGATTGATGCATAATATCATCTCGGATTCCATTCATGTATTGCTTCGAGAACTCACTTTTCCATAACCTTGCTTCCTCATGTGAGGCCAAGCGGCCTTAGTGACAGAAAAGGAGCCTTTCAAATGAACTTTGTGGATGAGGTCGAATTCGGCTTCGGTCATGTTAACGAAAGCTTTGTCGCGCAGAATTCCGGCATTATTTATCACGATATCGACGCGACCTGTTCGGAAGAGCAATGAACTCAAGGACGCTGTGATTACGATCGTCTCATTCTATATCTAGTAGTTCGATAGTAATTCAATTCCTCGTGTTAGGGTTCGTTGCTGATCTCTCGATTGATTCGAAATTTCTCCTACCATAGGCCTTGATAGCGGTTTCGATAATTTTTCCGCCGTCTTCCACACTGTTGTAGTTGGCGGTAGCCTCACCACCCTTGTCTCTGATCTCCTTCACAACCAGGTCAGCCGCGTTGGAAGATGCTCCCGAGCCATCTCGGCTACCCCCAAGGTCGTTGACGACAACCTTACAGCCTGAGGATCAAGAAAGTTCCATTGACCGACTTCCGACACGACAGGGCTTTTCTTCGAGATTTCAATGAAATTTCCAATGTCCATGAACAGACGAACCTCTAGAAGCCAGCAGGAGAGCGTACTCCTTCCCGAGGCCGTTACCAGCTCCCGTGACCACGGCAACTCGTCCGTCGAAGCGCAACATCTCGGAATCTGTAGAAATCCTGTTCATCAGCGAAAATATTTGAGTAATATGAGTATTCGGTTTCGCTTGAGATTTTTTCAGCTCATGTATCCTACGCGAGCGAGAGACGGGTTCTCCAGGTCAGACTCCGAGTTCGAGGAGAAGCTGCCCCAATGCGCCGTACGAATTCAAGGGGAAAGCTCGAACTTTTGTCCGGCTCGACTTCTGAGAAGCAGGAAAGAAGGAAGAGACGAGGAAACCTCATCGCGACTTCCGGGAAACTTTTTCCGATCTGGGAACCGCGTGCGCTGCTCGAGGATCTCGGGAGGAACTCCCCCATGGAATACCGAAGGTTCCATAAAAAGTTCCATGCTCGAGGGGATGCGGGGGGTATGAGGGAAGCCTCTGGATGGCAGTGCACTCCTTACCGTGTTCGGAGACGGTCACGACTAATCTATTGTTTTCGAGACACTGGCGAGCCGAAACGGAGAGAATCACTCAAGATAGTGGGTTCGGGTATCTGGCACATCACCACGTCAACCCGGAAACCGGTTTGTTGTCGGCTCCTCTATATCCTCAGGTTGAGGCCGTAAGCGTCGCTGCATCCCGCGGCACTCTTCGGTAGCTGAGCAGCTCAGTGCCGCAGCCGAAGCTGTGAACAGAGATCTCCGAAAACTTTTCGGGACTCACCTGTTCGATATCTCCTGGCCGACAAGCAGCCGCAATCAGCTGCGGTAGTCGTGACAGGCGGATAACTGAAGGAGGCGCTCCTAGATGGCGCTCCGGCGCCAATATTTACCCCTACCGCGGCGGAGACGCGGGTTGATTTTCACCCTCGTTTATCCGCTTTCCGCGAAAAGTTCGAGATGCCAAGGTCGTATCTATTCTATTCTGTATCCATGCGCTGGAAGTTTGTCTGATATTCGTCCTTACTTCCGCTTAGGGATCGCGAATGAGCGAATTCGGTGAAGACGAGGAAAACGGGAATGTGAGCGTCTAAAATCCGCGATAATCGTCAACATCCGCACCCTCGGAAGGAGTCATGAGAAGATCATTAGTTTCAGCCGGGGCGAAGCTTCCGATCTCTTCCGAGACAGGTGATTCGCAGTCGATATGCTTGTGAGATTTCGGGCGCTCACACCATCGAGTGCTACCGAGAGCAAGCAGACGACGCCCGCACGAGATTCGTTGAGCGCTGGACCGATAGAGCCCGATTCCGAGCAGTCTATCAGTACATTGGATTCTCGGAGCCCGAAGCGGGCGTCGGGCTTCGATCGTCAAGGCTCGCGATCGACAACGAGGAGAGGGGAATGCAAAGAACCGGGATCTTTCCGCCTCCGACGTGTGACTGGGGAACCTTCGCGAATCTCAGAAAATCTTCCGGAGACTAGTCTCAGCGCGGATCGACATTGGAGCTCGTCGGATCTCTCAGCGTCTACTTCAATTCAGCTCAGAATTATAAACAGAATATTGCGCCCGATCAAGTTATTCAATTCCACGGAATCGTCTAAGTCTAGATGAGTTTAGCAGGCAAAATCTATCATAAAGGCCCTGAAGTCCCTCTAATCAAGCATCAGATTTGGGACATTCATTTTACCTACGCTAGCAACAATGAAAATATCGAGCCTAAGGGAAACGAAACCACGAAAACGAAACTCTGCGAAATGTCAGACTTCATTCGAGCGGAAGCCTCTCGTTCGGCCCAGACGAAAGCCAATATGATCGACCCTTCCGCATAAATATGATGGCCGAGTGCTCGTCTCTGAAGTTGCTCTGAACGTGATTTCTGAAGAGTAACGTCCATCACGCCGTCCTTATAGCGCAGAAAATCGTTCTCTTATCGCAAGCATCTGGCAACAGAGAATCTGGGCTCTGTGTAACGCAGCTACACTGAACTCTAACCGTCGAATCGACGAGAGCAGGCTCCACGATCCTCAGCACGAGGAAGCATTGTCCTCTTTCTGCTCGGTTGGTGAGGCGCTCTCGAAAGCCATGTCTCTGGGACAGGACATCAAATCAGCGGGATAATTCTCATAAAATTCATTCTCTATTCTCAGCAACCTCAGTCCCTTCAGCCCTCGACTGAATCCCTTGAGCTTCGCCGAGGAAATGCAAAATGAGGGATCTTCCCGTCTCTCCAGCTCTGGTCTCATCAAGCGATCTCAGTTTTTCAAGCTCCAATGGCAGCTATATGAGCACTCGATCGATCCCAGCGAGAAAGCTCCAGGGAGGCTGATTCGGTGCGGCGGAATCTCATCAAGGGGGCGCGAGGGGTAAGGCTGAGGAACGCGGGTCGGAAGCATCGAGAATGTCTCTAAGGTCTATGCTGCTCACCTTATTTCAGCGATGAAAGTCCACCAGCAGCAATCAAATTTCACCGAAAAACAACACAGGAGTCACTTGTCGTTGATCCGGATGCTCAATATGCGCACGACAATCTTTGCTCACTGAAGAATATCGCCAAGGTCTGCAGTTCAGAATCAAGTGAGGCGGAAAGAAACGCAAGGATTGCCTTAGCAGCAAGGAAAATACTTTATTCACTCGTTGTACCACCTCATGTACCTATGATGTTGGAGAGAGATTCCGGAGAGTACCTGAAGACGCGAGCACAACCCCATCTTCCCGATCGCCCCTCTAGTTGCGGTTCAAATCGACTCTCCCGCAGGATGGGTTGTGATGAGGTTTGAAGTTCGGATGCCGCAGGCGCTCGAATTTTCTAAGATGCATATTCTCCGGGGTTGCCTGACTCGGATCACTAATTGTGATGATTCACGATTTTCGCTAGCATTCTATCGGAAACTGGTCAAGGCAATCAATAGAGCTTGTGGGTCTTGGTCGTTTGTATATTTTTCAGAAGCCGTCAGCACTGCCGAGCGGCGCTCCACAACAATCGTTCGGGACTCGTTGGCGAGCTGCAAGCCATACCATAGAAGAATGTTCATGTGAAACGTGTTGCTCTCTTCGGCACACCTTTCCGGCGACCCATCGATATTCCAGCATTATGTCCTCTCTCAGGCTTTGAATGTCCAAGAGTGTCGGGAATGATGAGAAGGAACTGCTGAACATGATCATTGCCATGCACTGCATGGTCATACGACCCCTTACCCACGGACTCTCCCAACCTGATATATCAGTCGCTCATAGTCCGTTCGGAGTGGATGTCCCGGAGGGTATCGGAGAAATAGCCCTCAAGCATCGATCTTCTGGATTTGTATTTCTGAACACTCTCCTTCGGGTTAAGATAGAGACCCTCAGGGATCACCCCTCCTCCCAGATCCGATTGGACTCTCGAGAAGTTTGTCGGCACTCGAAGCCGCTTGAAGCTGCTTTCTTCCCCGAAGAGTACACAAAACGATTCTGCCCCATCATCTCAGACCGTCTCGAGGCGGCGATGTCCCTGATAGTAGTTCGCGCGCCTCGTTTCTCCGATCTTCGCCCTTCGAAGTTGAACGTACCCGCCGTGAACCGGCGGGGAAGCTTTGCACTGATCCCCGTCTCTCGTTCGTAGTCCGTGTATAGGGCAGAAAATGTTTTCAGGACTTCGAATCGAGAGGGCAGCTCCAAAGTCTTGGATGGTGCTCCCATCCAGAAAAATCCGTGGGGAAAAGTCCCGATGCCAGCTCAGTCACGTGATGAAGCCGGAGGGATTTGTGGAGGACAAATCCCTGGAGGACAAAACGTTGAGTTCAACGCAGTTATCCGTGGAATGTCGTGGGCTTCCCCTTCAGACTTGGAAAAAACGTTTCCATCGATCTCCGGAACTGTATTCTGTCGGAGAAAGCGTCAAGAAGTCGTCTGACGTTTCCATCGCCTGGTTTGCTGGATGATCGACTCGAGGGGCTTTCGGAAAAGAATCGATATGCGATCCGAGGTTCCCATGCACATATGTGCCCGCTGGCGGGTGGATATCAGGGTGAGAGCTATATTATTCGCCATGGTTGGTCGCTTCGGGTGGCTACCGCAGGAGTTTGCGGGGAAGACGTGCTTGAGGGGGGTTTCAGAAAGGACTGCTCAGATTCGTCGGGGTTCGAGCAGATTATTTCGACGCTTCGGAAGTCATTCGTTTCTTCTCAGTCTGGACCAATATGCGGCTCAATATCTCCTCCAAAGCTCCGCACGAAAGACTCAAATCCTCTCGTAACATCGTACGACAAAATCCCAATGCAATGAGGCGAACGGGAGGAACATTCAGCTGGGCTCCCGCTCATCGTTTCTTTATTGTCTCGGTCATGTTCGATAGTCTGTTCCAGATCAGCCTCGAATTTGGCAGTCTCAGTCAACCTCATGCTTTCGCTTCCCGGTTATTTATTTCGCGTGTTGCGTTGGGCTACGCACCTGTTCGTGCCATACCGATTCGTCGGCGTCGAGTATTCCTAGCGTCCGAGGACCGGCATCGAGATGTCCGAGTCCCGCTCAGGACAACGGTTCCAGGAAGAGGGCGCCGTAGGCTGTTTCCGGGGCTCGGCGGCCAGGTCGCTCTCGAAGCGTCCTCGAAGTGCGACGAAATCAGACCGAGCCAATGTCCGCTGGATCTGGAGACGGAATCATGCCATTGTCCTCCACGGAGCCCCCCGGACATGTACTCATCACGGCTTTGGCGGCGAAGTTTATGTTCTCGGCGAGAGTATTGACCAGCACGGAAATAATCCGGAATCCGAACTCAGCATAGAGCCAGTCCCGCCCAGGGAGGTTCCGAGGGGTCTATACACTGGGATAGTCCATCGGCGAGCGCGCCCGGCGCTTCGCGAGCAGCGACGTTGAGTCGGCGACCGCTTATTCGGGGCGGAGGTCCGGAGCAGGTTCTTCCCTCAGCATCGATGCGCGACTTTCACGGAAGACTGCGGATGAAGGCCCATACTGGTCAAAGGAATACGTCTATCGATCTCGGAGCTCCCTACTTGCGCTTATCTCCTTCGTTTCCCTCCGGGATCAGGAATGATGACGCGACACCCTAAACCCCATACTCGTTTCAGCTTTCTACCACTGAGGCGTTCTAGGATTCTAGGGGATTGTGGTCCCGTAGGCTCCCACCTTTGTGCGCTACTGAACCAGCTGTGAGATGTCACAGCCCAGCCATCGATCCGCTCGCGGCTCTAACCGTGGTTGAATTGTCGCCTGGTGTTCGGCTCTCGCCTCGCGGCCTGTCGTCGCCCGAGGCCTTCGAAACTGAACATTTTGATGTCGAACCTTCGACCGACAAGTTGGCGAACACTTCATGGCATGCAGAGGATACCTACTTGCGGATCCTGGACGATTGAGACACCCGCGAGCAACAACGAGATATCGCACTCAGCGGCTGTCCCTCCCCCGATGGCTTCGGTATGAACTTGTCATAATCACTTCCCGCTTCGGCACTCAGCGGCGGACAAACCATGCGCCGCATGAAAGCTTATTGATCAGGAGGAGCACTCTATGCAAATTCACTAATCGAAATCTCAAGGGAATAATCGATTGGACGAAGCCAATCAACGACCGGGAATCTCATATCCGACTTCTGCTGACAAGCTGAAGTTAGCGTCTCAAACTCTTTTGTGCGGCATCGCCAGAAGTGATGTGCCATTGCCTCAGCAGCTCCAACAGATGACGCTGCGACAGTCATTCTCTTCTCGATTGGTTCGGCTTCGATGCCGCCGTCAATCAGCGAAGCGAGCAATGAGTTAGTGAATTCGAAGGATTCGATGCTGTTCCGGGTCGATATGGTCCCACGTGAGCTCCTCTCGTTAATGCCAGCGGCCCGCGTGTCTGTCCGTTCGCCCGTTGTCGTGCCCATGGGTAGCAGGCAAAGATCATCAGCTCTCGTTCCGACGTCATTCTCCCCTCCCTACATCGGGGGTCCAGTGTCAGGAAGAGAAATCTTGCATGTGTGTGTCTGAGGCTAAGGGCCTTTTTATTGTTACACTCCTTCAATTCCCGAATTTTCGGTGTTTGAAGGAGCCATACGGTCGGAGGAGATCCATGCCGGAGAGTTAGTGACCATCGCGTCATCTGTTTGGATCATGGCCACCCTGTGAGGAGCTCTTGAAGCCATCTCCTTTTTTGTCGTGTCTTCCCGTGGATATCACTTCGTACGTTCGATTCATTTATTTTCGTCGCCTAGAATATTAGGAAGAGAGAGATATTGTGCGGTATTCATTCCTCGACTGTATCCGAGAGCAAAGTTCCACATTCTCAGCGGAAAATGATCGGATATTCGGAACGTTCTTTGACATCTGAGGCACACCGACACACGTTATTGGTTGGCGGGTCCTCGTTCCTCTCGGAGCCGAGTGAACTCCTGCCTCCCCCGGTCGTTCAGATTCGCAGCCACTCCTGCGGCTCCGTGAGGAACTCATCCGGAACATGCGATGGATGAGAGACTGAACCAGAGGAGGATGGGCTGAACGATCAGGAATTTATTGAAGGAGTCGGAGCTCCGAAGCAACGCACCGATTCGATAGCTCATGGCAATGAAATGGAATTCGGATATCGCCAGCCCTTCCGGGAACGCTTGTTCCGGCTCGTAGAGGATTGTAGCTCAGGCCCTTTACCGTCGCGAGCTGATTTTCCCGCGAGATAAAACCCGGATAGCCCCTAAAGATTTTTATCAGGCCGTGAGGTGTTGTTTGACGTTTCGGTGAGTACACCGTGAGTTGAGGAGGGCAGCCTCGGCATCAGCCGATACTGAGGTCAGTCGCTACATTCAATCGTGTCTCGATTTGTTCACGGAGTCGCATTCATCGAGCGCTGTCACATTGTTGAAACGCACGCCAAGAATGGCATCACTATGGCGCCAAGCTGCCTTGATACGCCGCAAGCATTTCCTTCCTGCCGGTGGAAGAAAACGTCGCCGCAATGATTGTCAGCGGAAAGAAGGTTCAGAATATTCGGAAAGTCGGTTCAGAATATTCGGAAAGTCAGTCTGAACGCTCGGAGCATTTCGGCTCAGGATCCTCCGCATACATCATCAATTCATACATGTCTCTGTTGCTTACACGCATACATGCGTCGTCGCTGATCAGTCGAGACGCGGGGGAGCTCTCGCTTTGACGACTGACCACTGTCCAGGATAGAGCCGGGACAGCCGTCCTCAATCGACGGTTAGCTCAGCGGAACGTCATGCGAAATATCACGGTCCGATTTACACGATTAATTTATACGCATCATGGACAAACGACTCGCGGACTCGCGTCTAGTCAGCGAATCGTGAGACGATCAGTGCCTCCGCGCCAAAGAGTTTACGAATGACGGGAGCGCTGCCGCCGATTCCTAAAGTGGAATCAATGTTTCCATTTCCTTAGTCACCGGGCCATATCGACGACTCTTTAGTCATTCTTGCCGTGATATTCCGCTTTTGGTAGCCCTCTCCTTCCGGACCCACGACGCAGATGACTCCAGTATCGGCGATACTGTTCCCGATCTGGCACCAGCCAAGGCTCTCCGGATGAGGACAGTCTTCCGGAATCAGATTCGAGAGCGCGACTAATCCCGATCAGAGAATAACAAGAAGTTTTCTTTCATTTCTGGACAGGGATCGGGATGCCGCCACCTCCTCCTCCACCCCCACCCGGGGGCCCACCCCAACCTCCGGCGATGCCGAATTTCAAAGCGGCGGCAGCCCCGGATCGGGGGGCGCTCCTGTCACAGATACGAGGTGGGGCTCGACTGAAAAAAGCCGTCACAAACGACCGTAGCGCGCCATTAGTCAGTAAGTGTATGCTGAGATCACTTGGGAAAGGCTTAAACTCGGGAGTAGATATTCCTGACATCGTTTCTCGAGTTAAGTCATTCAAAATCTTTCAGCTAACAAAACAAACAATGTGGCAGCGTCCAGCGGAAGCAATTCAGACGGACCGTACCGAACGGGTGGATCAGCCCTCGGGGGAGCATCGAGTGGGGGTCCTCCAATGGGTCTCGGTGGCCTTTTCTCGGGCGGCATGCCCAAGCTCAAGCCCACAGGTCAGAGATCGGCCCTCGGAGTGTCGAGTCGAGGCGGCGCGGAGTCCTCGTCCCCATCGCCCCCGAAAGAGTCACCGCCAAAAGAAGCCCCGTCGCCTTCACGACAAATGGAGTCAGTTGGTCAAAGTTTAGCTCAAGCGATCGCGAACCGGGCGGCGAAGATCAACGCGACCAGCGAGAAGGTTGGTGCGAATATTTGGTGCGAATATTTGTTCAATGAAACTCCCCCAGTGTTTCTCCGGTAGGGCTGTGTCTGATTCCCTCTCTCGACAGCAGGTTGCTCCTACCTCGGCACCGAAGTCGTCCGTGACGTCGTCTTCTTTTGTGAAGAGTCCGTCACCCGAACGACCAGGTCCCCTCCACCATGACACCCACACGAATTCCACAGGCGCCTCGGCGACGAGTTCGTCGGCAGCGCATTTTCCCAAAGACGTTTCCCCACCGCAACAGAGTCGACGTGGTCCCCCGTTGCCCTCGAAGCCTCCAGCTTCGAATGTCAACCGATCGACCTCGCAGAGCCAGACGAAGAGACCCACGCACAAACCCCCACCCCCACCTAAGTTTGGCACCCTCGGTAAGATGACCTAGCACGGAATACGCGTCCTCTCAAAAATCATCGTCCTTCGCCGAGCAGTGTCTCTAACGATCCCGTTACAGGCCATCAGAAGAGGACCGCTGTGAGTCAAACTCAGCCGTTGGCTCGGAGGCAAAGTTTCGGTGCGCTTGATTCGAACGCAAGCGCTCTTAGCGTTACGAAGCCACAGGCGGCTCCACCTCCGCCGCCTCCACCTCGCAACATGAGCGTCCCGAACAACATGAACAATATACATCGGAATGCGCCACCGATCCCACCATCGCTCCACAGCAAGAAAGCCCCACCTCAAGCGCCCATGACAAAGCCTCCTCCACCGCCTCCGAACAAGACGACGATGCGTTCGACGCCCTATCCGGTGAGCCTCGTTGGAGGAGGTTCTGCGATGCGAGCGGGACGATTCGAATCACGCTTCACCTTCCACAATATCAACGATCTCTCGGTTACTTACGAGCCCACGCAAGATAAAAAGTATCCGAGCAGAAAGAAGAAGTCCCACCAGCGGAAGGCTCCAGCGCCTCCGTTAGTGTCGACTGAGTCCTAATACGTAGAATCGGTTTTGGAATTCGGGGGTCCCTGAAGCTCATATCGACTACGCCGCCGCCGCCGCGGCAGCAGCAAGAGCAATACACAATAGTCGTCGTGCTTGCACGCAGCAGAAGGTGCTCCGCCTTCTCTTCGGTGGATAGAAACGCTTTCGCAGCCGCTGGTCGCTCGAGTCCCCCGATAGCGGAAGCCAGGGGGAGCGAGTCTTGAGACGTGTCAGCGGTCCGCAAAATCAGAACACCGAAAAAGGCGTGCACTGAAATGTCTTTATGCAGAAACAGAGTCCACCGATAGTTTCTAATGTTGAAAGTGTTGTAGCTCGAGGTGATTTCATACGTAGAGCTTTTCGTAGAGCTGCTGTATGAGACTCGAAAGCGAACGGATGAGACGACAAAGCGTTGAACGAACCATTATGGTACAAACCGGAGGACGCGTAGTTGGAACTTCGGCGTTTGGCCCGTTCCACGACGATGTGTGCCACTGTTATTGAATGGACTCGAGCGGTGTTCTGTGGTATTTATATGGATGTCGGAGCCGCGCGATGCAGTCCAACGAGACTTCAGACATGATCATGTTCGTAGGTTCTTACTTTCGTCTCAATCGGGTGAATACAGGTATGAAATTGGACGTGAATGGGGACGAGAGAATAGAGAGAGGGGGGGGGGCGATTCAAGGAGAGGGGGGTCGGATTTCCGAGTGTCTGAAGCACTCCGTTGAATCGTTTCGCCGTTGTAAGGTTACTGTTATATATCTTACCACTGTATCTATCTCCGCATCAAATGACGTTGCTTATATATGGCCGGTCGGCACGTAGGGAACAACGTCCTTTCCGCAGCAACGGATGCGTACAGACTCGTTAATCCTGGGCCCCCAGATCAATCTTGCATCCTTCGCCATGTGTACCGGGCTTCCCCCGAGGCGGGGAAACAAATCGGTTAGATGCACGCTCCCATTCGGCGCAAGAATATGGGGCGAGGGGAACTAATGCAAGGTCCGAGCATGTGGTGGAGCGCTGTACCGATACGATTCGCTTGATAATTTATTCTCATCCGATTGTCGAATAAATATTTTAAACATGAAGACATGGGATGGAGCGGCTGTTTTCGTCATTGCGACAATCGAAACAGAACGAATAGGGGACTCGAACGTGAGCAAAAGCTGTTCGATGAGCTCAGGACGATTTGTTGCGATGGAGAAGGCGTCTTTACACACAAGCAACCTCGTCCGGTCATAAAGGCTTCCTCAGATTTTATTTGACATCTCCTACTTACATAAACGTTCTTAAAATGATACATACATATTATTATCTTCATCATTATCATTCATTCCGTTTCTCGCAGCTTTGTCGTCTCCAGATCGGTGTCGCACTTTGCGCTCATACGAGTTTCTTGGCTTCGAAGAAGCCTTTGAGATGTTTCATTTGCCAGACTCCCATACCGACGAGCAGGACGAGTTGGGCAACAGCCCAGTATAGAACTCGCGAGTTTGTTGACTCCGAAGTCTGCCGGAAGCGTTCCTCTCGGTACCGCTGATAGTTCTGCTCCTTGGCGATTTGTTCTGTTTGGAGCAGGAGTTGCCGCACGCGCACTTGGAGGTCCGAAAGTCTCTCCTTCTGGGCGATCGAAGCGTAATCGACCGCGTGTTCTCCCACCTGCAGGTCTAGATGGACCCGCAATTGGCTCCCGGAGAACCATTTCGATGAATTCGAGTACAAGCAAATGGAATGCTCTCCCGGGGCAGGAGATGTGAAGGAGAATCTACCTTCGGATGAATATACCTGTGAGGGAACGAGATCGAGGGTCAACTTCCATGGGCCCGATAGCGGAAGGTCGATGCCTCACTGCGTTTACGATTTTTTCATCGAAAAATCTTCTTAAAGTCAAGCGCCGCGCGGAAGCGCTCATGAGCTTGGGAAAACAAACTTTCTGACAGGAATGTCATGGAGAGACTCCCGGAGGGAGAAGGATTCTGTGCTTACTTTTGACAAGATGATTTTCTCTTCGGGATCACGAACTTCGACGTGCATACCGATTCCAGGAGAGGAGGGCATGAAACCTCCGGTGTTCGGGTCGTGCAATTGACATCTGTAGTGCCCAACCACCAGCGTATCTTCCGGAACTTCTTCGATGAAACATTTTCGCTCGCCTTCAGCAATATGGAAATACAGGCCATGGCTTACGGCCGCTAGACCGTACACCCCCAGGATCGTCAGGAGCCAGCTCTTCATATTGTGTTCTGTGAAGGACAGGTCACTCGAAGAAGCAAAGCAGATCCACAGGAGCTACTACCGGTATTTCAATCCCTTCGGTCCGCCAGGAGGCCTGACGTGTCAGCGATATAGGAACAGATGAGACCACAGCATGAAACCCAAACAGCCGCTCATCGACACAACGAGCGACATCGTCTGCTCGATGGAAATGAATACTTGCCCGTTTTTTCCAATTCCGAATACTAGAGAAGCAACGCATCTTATCGCTGATCGTAACGTTTCATACTGCTTCATTCAAATACTCTCAGGACATGATCGTGAGGGCCGTGGGATCCAATGCATGACGGGACCGGTTAAAGAGAGAAAACGGCTGGTCTCGGGATTCGGAAATATTCCTTGTCCTCAGGGATGCGGCGGCGGCGAGTAGTGTTATTTGTTATTCTCTCTTTGTTAGACTACTAGTGCTGTCATTCTCTCTCCGGGGATCACTACTTCCTTCCGATCGCTGCAGAGAACGATAAGAGCAACGGAAAATCATCTGACAGCAGTGCCGCGAGCTTCGCCGTATATTTTGGACCTTCGTATCGTGACATTCTCCTCGGATCTTTCGCGGCAGCGGAAGCGGCACTTTCCCATGGGATAGCCTTCAAGGGAAATCGGATTCAGAAAGAGATTCAGTCCGAATGCTCTGCCAACGCGGCTCCCGGTTTTGTGAGAGCATGGAAGGGAGGGACGCGGGAGATGACGACGCTGTCTCCGTCGCGTCCTAGTTCGGCAAAAGCCAAAAACTCGAAGCTGGAGTAGTTCCCGTTCGGCGGACGGGCTGCCGTCAAAGCATCGCAGAGTCATGTCATACCATCAGTCATGGTTGTTCCTCTGGAGCGCTGCAATTCTATTCTTGATAAACGTTCTACTCTTCCTAGTCGGTTACTTCCCCATGGAGCGCAACCCCACAGGAGTAGCCAAAGCCACGGATGCAGCTTTGCCGTACGCTCTCTGCGGGCTCCCATCCAACACCGTGCATGATACGACGTATAAATCTCTGCACCCACGATTGGTCCTGGTGGTAATCGATGCACTGCGATACGATTTCCTGGATGAGAAGAATTTCCCCTACGCAAGCTCGATGGTGGCGAAGAGACATGCCCTGAAGTACAAAAGCAGAGCGTTCGCGCCCACCGTCACCCTTCCGCGCATCAAAAGCATACTGTCTGGAATCGTGCCAGGATATGCGGATATCATCATCAATCTGGATGCGTCGAGGATGAGCACGGACAACCTCATTTATCAAGCGCACAGTGAATTGAGGCGAAGCTATTTTTTCGGCGACGACACTTGGCTGAAACTGTTTCCCCCAGAGTATTTCACAAAGTACGAAGGAACCTCGTCTTTCTACGTCAACGACTTCACCGAAGTCGATGCAAACGTGACAAGAAACGTGAAGGAGACGATATCGAGCGATTGGGATCTCATGTTCCTGCACTATCTCGGGCTCGACCATTTGGGACACATAACGGGTCCTGAGGGCCCCGCGGTTTTGGACAAGCTCAAGGAGATGGACGAGATCCTCAAATATCTCCACCAAAGCCTACCCGATGGTAGCTTGATCGTGGTGACCGGGGATCATGGAATGAGTGTCACGGGAAATCACGGAGGAACGTCGCACGAAGAAATCGACACGCCAATATTATTCATGTTGAGCGGGAAAGACAATTATTTCAACGAATCTGTTGAGCTTTCATCTTGGAACGTACATCAGATCGACATCACACCGACCCTCGCACTCCTGCTGGGCTTGCCCATTCCCCGAGGCTCCTACGGGTCGGTGATTCCCGAGGTCATAAACGGCCATCCTTTCCTGAAGCCCGAACAAACTCTCTTCCGGATGCAATACAATGCGAACCAGATGCTGCAAGTATTCAACGATTACTTCGAGGCTGAAATGGAGAAGTATCAGACGGTCAGAGCCACCATTTGCCAATATCTGCGTCTGATCAAAGACGACGCACCTCTGACGACTGAAGCCGTTCATTCGATGCAAAAAGCGCTGTACAACTCCATGACCATGATGAAGAAAATGCTAATCGGCAACAGATCTACGTGCAATCTTCATTATTTGATTATTGGCGTGATCGGAGCGTTCGAATGCGCATTTTCAATCTTCATCTGCGCCTTCTCGGAAAATCTTCGCTTCAAATTCGACAAGAGAGTGTTGCTGTCCAGCTTCATCTTAGGCTTTTCTGTTTCCGCTTTCATCTCCACGTTGCTGGAAGGCTCGACCATAAGGAACGAGCTCCTGGGCGTGATATTCCTCTTCGCGTCCACCTACGTATTGCTGTGCTCATTGCAGGGTTTCACCCTGTCGACGTTCAAAGGCAATCTGGGCATGGTGAGCGTCCTGTCTTGCATGCAGGTGCTCGGTTACGCTCTTTACGCGGGCTCGCTGATCGGCAGCAGTTTCGTCGAGGAAGAGCATCAGACATGGTATTTCTTGAGCGTCAGTATCGGAGTTCTGGGAGCGCTGCTCTCACCGTCGATGAAGATCGGTAAAGAGAACGCTATCAGGGTTTTCCGAGTGCTACTGCTGTCTCGTATTCTGAGAGGCTGGAACCGCACCGGGGACAAGTGGATTCACCTTCCAGTGTACGCGGACTACATCCTCAAGCAACGATCTCTAGCCGTGGCTCTGGTGCTCGTCACGTGCTACAATGTGATGAGTATGTTCAGGATGCGCAATTCGTCGCTACAAGGCGCGCTCGGGGCGACTTCCGCGGCCCTAATTTTAGCGTATAAACTGCTCAGTATTGTCGCGGGCGAACACCACAAGCTAGCGGTTTGGCTTTATTTGACGCTTCCCCTGATGATTATTTCGGGTATCTGGGAGTTTGTCACGCTAGAAAACCGGAGAGAGCGTCATCTGCATCCTCTGAACGCGATATCGAATACCTGGATGCTGCTCGGTTTCATACTCCAGAGACCGGAGAATGTTTTCATGTTTGGATTGGAGATTTTCCTCGAGAACGCCGTCCACGCAGCGGTGGCATCTTTCCCCGTAACGATACAAGCCGTTGTCTACATGTGGTTTTCGAATGCGGCCTTCTTCCATCAAGGCAACTCGAACAAATTGTCGACGATTGACGTCGCGTCGGGCTATATCGGCATTTCGTTCTATGAACCAGCCCTTGTGGGATTCCTGATGTTCTGCCACACCTACTCTGGGGTGATTCATTGGTTGATTATGTTCTGGCGGCATACCTGCTACAACCTCGGTCCCAAAGATAAAATTAGGGTGACTAGTCTCATGCTGTGCATAAAGCTGCTGTTGACAACATGGTATCTGCTGATAATGATAGTTCAGAGAGAACATCTCTTTGTATGGTCTGTATTCAGTCCGAAAGGACTATACGAGTGTGTGCACTCGACATGTTTTGTGCTGCTCCTGATGGGAATTTCGTGCTCCAACGTGTGATACGGGAGGGACGCCGAACGTGTCTGCGTTAATGCAATGTAATATATTTATAGAGATCGATTAAAAGGAGGGGGCTTCCTCCGTGGAGATAATTGGCATATTTTCCGCAGGAAAGGTTTAGGCGATGGACCGGGATAGTGAAAGCTACTCATCGACTCTCCATACGAGCCCTGTGATTTATTTTACGTCAAACACAAAGAAACTTTCCGGGAATTCCATCCGAACGGTGGACTCACAAGTGACTTTTTACCCGAGTTTCCTTAAAGCGATTGAATCAGCCATTCCTAACTCTCCATGGATTTCCCCATCCCTACAAGTATATACATGAATATGTTCAGCATGGTTTCAACCTCCGCTACGCAGTGTTGACCCCACAGAAAGAAGCGGACTCGCCGAGACCTCATGGTCGCGAACCGCTCGATCGTTCTTTCTCTTTCTCTGTGATTTTGTCTTTGAGGGTAGTATAGCCGCTCGGTATTTCCTCCAAAAATCTAGGATGGACATCTATTCCCAACACCTCGGTGATCATGAAGGGTTTAAGCCAACCGACCAGAGGACAGCATCCGGGGATGTAGTGGCCATCCTTGTGATAGAAGAGCATGCCGTCGATTTCCGCTTCGAATGGGGGCTTCTCAGCCTGTAGGAGCTCGCTAAGCTGATCCTTGTTCCACTCGAAACTAGGTACGATTTCGAGTTTAATTTTTCGTTTCGCTGAGGCGATTTGCTCCGCGCATTCCGTAAATTGTGTTCGCAACCAGTAAAAGCGGAAACATGTGTCCGAATCGTAGTAGGGCTTCGATCGCCAAGCGACGAGATCCAATATGTAACAGGTTTTCACGCTATCATTATACACAACATCCAATATAGTAAAGTCGTTCGCTTTCCAGTTCAGTTGTCGGTTGCTGTTGAGGCTGCCTCCTGAGAAAATTGAAAACTTGTGAATGACGGAATCTCTGATCGTTCGGAGAGATTGACATTTGATGAGCCCAATACACAATCTATAATTTTGACGATCCGTATACGTCTTCGTGCCATGGGAAAGAATTCGGCCCTCCTTGCCACAGTAGACGGCGATCCAATCGAGCTCTCACCTGGCAGATTGGACACGAAAGTGTGCAGGTTGAAGCCATTCCGAGCGTAGAGCTTGGTAATCCCCTGAGAGGCTACAAGGAGCGCCCGTTTGCCTTTCGGACAAGGAACTACAATATATTCTTTCAAATCAGGTACTTCAAGCAACCATTCGGACAGCATCAGCTGACCTCGGTAAGATCTGGAAGAGTGAATAGCTTCAGCTTCAAGAAGTCTTGAGAGCATCCCATCGTCAACCAATTTAGAGAGCATAGTCGTTCTCATGGCCGCCCGGGCATCGATATGTAATTCGCGATGCATTCCCTGCGGCTCTTTTGATTGAAAAACGCTTGTATCAGAGACAGGCGATTGGGAGTCCAAGGAGCAAGTTCGCGAGCTGCGAGAGGAAAGAAAGCTCGGGGAAATATGTCAGGTCGTTTCTCTTGAGAATCCATAGGATTGAGACCAGTCCGAGAAAGTCGACGGCTGCACGAATGATAATTGAAGTCATATCGGATGCCGGGTTGAGAATATATTCGAGAGACATCTCATCGATTACCTCGATGCTCTTATACCGCTAATGAGATTCTAGCGCCCACGACGGACGTTGGAAGCTCGTTTCTCTACGGAGGAAGCTCCCAGCCCGAGGCGAGCTTTTCCGAAAACCGGCCACGGCAACGTGTTCCACTTTTTCTAGAATATAGATATCCCCGGGGAGCTGTCTCGCCTTACCTCGGAGGACGCCGTGGCTTGACACCTTCCTCGGAATCGCTGCTATCCATCTTCTCACTGGGCTGACCCTTGGGGAAGAACCCTTGAGCCAGATCTCTTGCATGCTGGAGCGCATCGTACCTGGAAACACAGAGAGCAACGTAGCGCAAGACTGCATTGCACGGCGTTCCCGCAGAAATCGGGTTAACTCGGCCATCATCGAACATTTACCTTTTATCTTTCTGTCTGGACAAGAACTCAGCTCGGCGCGATTCCTGATGGCAGGGTTTCTTTTTGAAGAGATCGAACCTCGCCGGTATCGATGAGCACGGCGTGCTTGTTACGGAGAGATCAGTGGCTAGGTTTTCGATCAAGTCCTCCATTTCCGGGTGTCTAGAGGAGAAAAATTCGACAGTGAGCAGGATGAGAACCACTCGTCCTCTTTATGAGAGCAGATCTTGTACTGATGCAGAAGTGAGATAGAGAAGTCCCTCAGCGGGAACCGGCATGCGAATACCGCGACGAGGAAGAAACTGACCTGAAGTGATTTCGAAAGGAAATTGCTAACTTCTTCCGGGATTTGGGCAGCTCGCTGTCGGGGCAGAATCCTCATCGAATAACTTCTGACCGTGACCCAGAACAAAATGTGTTCGAGACCATAGATGAATGTTATGTTCTCTTTCGCGCTCATCTGTTCGCGATTCATTCACCGCGTTCCGACTTTTTGGAGAGTTCGACAACTTCGGCGCCAATTACGATCCGAGGAACTCCGCGAATTCGAGGGCCCGTGCGATTTTAGAGTTCGCCCCCATGGATATTCTTCCGGAGCGTCGGTCGAAGCGGTTACGCGTGTCAGAGCTCCGGAATACCCTGCTGCGGTTGCTACGATTTTCGATCGGAACCTCCTTGCTGTGAAATCTATCGCGCGGAACGTTTTACTATATGACGTTGTTGTGTGGTTTCGGGAGAAAGCGCCATTCTCAGTGAGAGGGCATCGCACGGCTCGCAAGGAATGTCCTGCGCGTCGAAATATTCCGAATCGCTCTATCGACCGAAAGATCGAATCTTATCGAGGTTGCCGCCTTTCCACTCCGTTCCGTTCGGAAGCTCAACAGGTGTTCGGCAGCTGGGGTGCGCGGATCGTCGAGGGTCGATCGTGTGTTCGCTTCTCCTAAAGAATTAGGGAGTTTGGAAGAAGCATTGAGAATCTACTTCGTGATCTCTCATGGATCGTTACAATGCTGATCAGCTCATCAAGGATATGAAGGTGAGTGGGACTTCTTCGATTTCCAAGCGAATCCGTCACGTTTTCCGTGTCATCGCGTCAGCGGGGAGCTGAAATCATAGGAGCATGTGATCCCAACCGAACCAGACCGGTTGATTCCGTGTTCGAGCGAATCCTTCGAGAATGTCCTTGGCTTGAGGAGTCGTTCCCGCGGCGTATGATCCAACGCGTCCGCAGCTGAGATTTCTAGAGTCGATATCGTTCTTACGGCCTTCCAGTATCGGGTTATTCTCGGAATTCCCAATCACGGCATATTGAAACCCGAGACGGACCCTACACTTCGGCTACCCGAGCCGGATTGCATTCCCGAAACCGCACCTCTCGAAAGTTTCCATTCACAGAAGCAGCGGACTCTGGCCTCGACGGCGTTTCTCTCCAGCGTATCTGGCATGACTGGCCGAGCTCTGGAAAAATTCACACAACAGAGTCAGAAGGATTTTCCTCACCGTGAAATCTTGCATTTCAGTCATTTTTGTCCGGTGTCGACCTGCATCGATTACGGATAGCGGGACCTGCATTCACTGAATGTTTCCGCGAGCTCCTATCAGAAGATCTCAGTCCTTCAGGAACCATAAATCTTTCCACTCAGTTGCTCGAAGCTATTTGGGAGCAATTAAACGTGGGCTCCTGGAGGGAAGTGCCAATGGAATTTCGAGAACTATACTCCTACGCGAGTTTGATGCTAGCCGCTGGCCATCTTCAGAACCGCGGAAAAGACGGCGACGACTACGAAAACCGGGCGATTCTAGCGTTGGACAAAGGATTGATACTCGGTGCTCCGGTAGGGGACACAGCTGTCGAGAATCGACTCGCTCACTATGCCGATATTCTCCACGGCCACCGAAATGTCCGACCCGACTCGGCCTTTAAGAGTGTCGGAGAACAAGAGATCGATACCGCTTCAATGACGTCTCTCGTTTCGGATTATCCGGCGATCGAAGAGATGGCGATGCCTTCAGTCAGCGAAGTATTGAGGAGAATCGAAGCTAGTTGCCCACTTAAAATTTCTGAACTCCTCGATGGATGGCCTGCGTTGAGAACTTGGAGCGTTCGACACTTCCTGCAGACAATGGGCCAGAGGACTGTGCCTGTAGAAGTTGGATCGCGTTATACCGACGACGAATGGGGTCAAAAGTTGATGACCGTAGAGACGTTCGTGAGAGATCACCTCGGTGCGAACGGCTACTTGGCTCAGTACGGACTGCTTGAGCAGGTTCCCGCGCTCAAACGGGAGATTATCATACCGGATTATTGCTACGCTCTCAACGATGCCGACCCTGAAATCAATTTTTGGTTTGGCGGTCGGACGGTGTCTCCATTGCATCAAGACGATCGGCAGAATATTTTCTGCCAGATTTTCGGCACGAAACTGATAATTTTGTTCTCCCCGGATCAGAATGGAAATCTGTACCCCTACGATTCGCCCTTGCTGCACAACACTAGTCAAGTCGATTTGGAGAACTTGGATCCGAGTAAATATCCGAAGTTCCTCGATGCTAAGGGACATCGAGTGGTGCTCGGGCCTGGAGACGCTCTCCTCATACCGAAGAGTTGGTGGCACTTCGTTAAGTCCCTGACCCCGAGCAGCTGCTCGCTTAGTTTTTGGTTTGGTTGACGCCAGCCGAGGACCTTCGGCGAGAGGTCAGAAAGGTTCGCTACTAGATAATTTCTTTAGCTTCGAATAACTTGATGCAACGAAATTGTCGGAACCCCCAGTGTGAAGGCGTACCGTAGACAAGTACGTGACCCATCTAACTTGAAATATCTTACAGAGCTCTTTGGATGCTGAAGGGTCGCCGTATTCTCCCTCGAGCTGTCGGGGGCGACTAGTGTAGACACCGTGCTTCTTGTTAGTGTTGCCCCGCTGAACGCTTTGCAGCAGAAAGCTTGATTGTCCCCATACCCCCTGGTTCCCACGTGCAAATCCCCGCTCAACGCCTGGTGTCTACCTCCATAACAGCGAGATTTCACCGTTTCAGCGGTTTCGGGGGGAACGCTCGAGGAGCTCCTCAGTCGACCACCCCTCGACGCAAATCTTGAGATCGTCGAACGGGTTGGCAACATAGTCACGGTCGTGAGAACATCCGTAGGTCAGCTTCTCTATCTCTGCGACCTCTGCGGTGTCCAGACCGAGGTGGCGACTCGCTCCCTGAAAGTCCACCTCGAAAGTCATTACGGTTCGGAAAAGCCGTTTCCCTGCAAGTATTGCAATAGTTATGCGAGCGAGCGCTTCGACTCGCTGAAGAAACATTTCAGGACGCACACAGGTATGTTTCGGGAATGAATATGCGCTTGATCGCTACTCAAGGACGATGTTTGCGCCTGGGTGTTGCTCGACTCCGAATCCTTTGCAGGCGAGAAACCCTACGTGTGTCCGATATGTCAGTTTCGCACAGTTACAAACTCATCATTCCATCAACACTTCCGCAAAGAGCATCAGGATAAAGCTACTCCTGGTCACAAGGTCCAACCTATATTCGACTCTATAACAGCTAATGTAAAATTGATATGATCGAGTTTTTGGGGGGTGGTTGTTAGCGCGAGTGTATTTACGATCAGCAACCTTAGGATAAGATTGTATTTTGGTATCAGCGGATCGTCCACACCTTCACACATCCGAGACCCGCATCTCCCTGCTGATTGAATGTACACTATACAGCGATATGCGCGGTTCCTTACGCAGCTCTAGATCGGGGGGAGCCGATTCCTGTTACTCGATGGTTCTCGATTTCGGGAGGTCCGATGAGGTCTTCCCGAAAGTCCAGTTACCTTATTCATTCGTGTGATTCCGAGTCATACCTCTGATTGCGGACGGTTTTCACGAAAGTGTCGATGCGGCTGACCCGGGAGTCCCTGGTCATTTCCGGTTTCCACGGAGCTTCCCGTGAGGATCTCTCGAAGATTGTCGAGCCTTTAAGACCATCCTCCCATAGCGAGTCCTTGTTTTAAACTTCCGAATCGGACGCCTTGTCTATTCTACCCATCTAGGTAATTTTTTTGGGACGCCCTCACATTCCAGGACTGTTTTTGGGAACTCATCGGCCGACTTTACCCAAGGACGGGCAAATCGCAGATTGAGATGCAGTACCAGTATGACGCAGGCGTCCCAGTCCAAGCTAGGCCTAAGATGTTTAGTTCCTATATTCTGTGAGACTAGTCGGGACTGTGTCATATGCATACGGCCGCCGGGCGCGGTCCCGTGAGAGGATCCGGCTGCTCAGAAATGTTCCTTTTTATCGATGTGTTCCGTAAGCGGACTGTAGTTATGATATATGGTAATTTTGGAATAAAATAACTCGTCAGGTCCGAGAAGGAAGCATCTCATTGTGCGGAGTGCCGAGTACGAGCAGCTGAGCGTGATGGATGTTAGGACTCATGAGCGCACTATTTTGTCTCGGAGCTTGACAAAGGCTCAAGCATCGAGCACGGGAGCAGAGGCCTTCGAGGGTGAGGACCTCTAAACGACAGCTGCTCCCCGCACACGAGACGCTTCTGCTCCTCCTCTCACCAGAGTCCAGGAAATGAGGGGTTCAGGAAGAGGTTCTTGTACGTGTCGCAACAAGAAGCACCTCTGAAGATCGGAGAATCGCACCGATCGAAACCTACCCCTGCTCAATGGAGGGCTCCATGATCCTTCAAGCCCAGGAAACACTGAGAGACGGGGTCCGAATCGGCTGATGGCACCGATAGACTAGAATCGGGATATACGCGAAGGAAAATGACTTGATTCATTCTTCTCATTCTGAAAGACGCTTTCCGTAAAGATCTATGTTTTATTGGCATTTCGACCTTATATCCATAAATGATTCACGAGGTTCTGGGTTGTGGAATCGAATCTTTCTCAGCTGTTCCCTCCGTCATTGAGCTCTGAGGAGACAAATGCTTGGCTGATATCCGATATTGCCTTGGAAACCGCAAGCATACCATGTCTGTCACGGTCTATCTCTCTCTAGCTGTGGATAGCGGCAACTATCCGTGACCATCCAAAGAAGTGTCCCGGAGCAACGGAAGGTATCAGGATGAGACCGGAGGTATCAGTGAGCGATTCTGGGACGTCCAAATCCTAGAATGAAAAACTTCTGCCCTCGTGGGCTCGATCAGGGGAGCCGAGTCAGCCAGATACGCTCTTCCTAAAACAGCACATTCCGATCCGGACAAAAAGGCATTGGAGCGATCTCCGGGTACATCGTTTGTTCAGAGGAGTCTTTGGGTCTCCGGAAAAATCCATTAGTCGAATCCCCGGTACTGAGCTCGCGACTTCTGAGGCTCGCATATCATGCGGTGCGACGATTACGGCGCGGATAAAACGAGTTCCGTATAAGGCTCGCTACACAACTGAGATCGATGAGAAACGGCTCGGATCGCGAGGACGGTGTCAAGCAAGAATCAACAGTAGGACGACATGTTACGAGTCGTGACGACGACGTCTTCTGGCTTAAAAACACGGTAACCCTGTGATTTCTGCTGTGAGTAGTATCAGATACATTCCCAGCGGAATCTTCTTCGACGGACTCATTTGGCATTTTCGTAGATGGCAGCTCCAGATGTGGAGTTCCGGACTCTTGGCCTCCGGCGCCGAATGTCGGAGGACACGCAGCTGATCCAGGGGCTTTCATGGAAGCGTCGGAAAATCAAAGCGCGGACTCCGGCCTTTACCGGGTCCTATTCTTTTCCGAGAAAAAGCTTGAGGGTTTGCTCATTACTCGCTCATCCTAGAGCCTCCGAAGTGAGGAGCTCAAGCTGAGTGAGCGGCTTGAAGATACATATGTAAATTGACTCGGCTTGCGAGCGAGGCCTGAGATCGGCTCATCAAAGTCCTTAACTCGGGATCCGCCTGAGCCCCGAGATAGAGAGTATATGGTTCGACAAGAACGTCTGGTATAGCCTATGATACAACATTGTAAGCCGAAAACTCTCGCCTTGATCGTGACTCATGCGAAACTACATAGAAAGTTTCGTTGGCGCGGCACAGAACCTTCGTCTGGTGAGCTCATCGGCGCCTTCACCGTTTCTTCGAGTAAAAAACATCAGATCTCCCGCATTCTGTCGGAGACGTCACAAGAGACCGCAGCGGCTGCGCTTTCTAGCGTTCTGGCACGGTTCTCGGGATCTGCGACTCGTGGAATCGAAGTCGCGAATCTCCATTCCAATGCGTGGACAGCTCATCCAGAGTTGACCTCAATTATTATCTAGAGTATGAAAGTTACCGGCCATGGCATTGGAGGTTGTACAATCCGAGAAAAAAAACATTTCTGGGAGGAGCCGGTGAGAATTTCCACAATGCTTCGCGGGAAATATCTCATCAACACTTTCGGAGGGCACGATTTCTTGGAACGAGTGATACTGTAGGCAGCATTGGACTGACTGTAGATGTACAAAACGGGGTGCCTCTGGAGGGAATTCTTCCCGGATTCCCGGATAACATTTCCGGGAATCGTAATGTCTTCCTCTAGGTCTACGAGCGATATTCCGAAATGAGTAAGCAAGAACTAGAAGTTCATCAGAGTTTGTGCGGAACTCGGCCTCGGATCGTCTCCGAGGTCTGAAGGTAGCGCAATGCAGCGTGGCAGGAGATGCCGGAGAGAGGCTCAACATCTATCGAGTAACTCTCATCGGGACTCTTTGCTGGTCGCAGCCCTGCTGCTCGCAACCATCGACGTTTGGGTGATGCGCGATCCGGTGGCCGTCGTTGTGGTGGTCGAGTCCGCAGTAGACGTCACGGATCTGGTCGAGCTGCTCCCACGTCTTCGTCTCGACACGCGCTCAGGATGTCCTCCTTCAACCAGATCGGCTTTCAGCTTCAGTTGTTCTCGAAGATCAGACGAAGCCTAGAAAGATCGTTCTCCTCAGACTAAGACCCGACGTATCTACAAGGCATGGCGCTGCGCCAGATCCCAGGAATTTCGTCCCTCTCCGGACGCGGATTCCCGGCGTTCGGCTGATCTCGAATGCATCGAATTTCGTAAATCCGCGCTTCCCCGGGAGAGATTTCTCCAGCAGTAACTTGTGGTCGGAGTTGTCTACGTTTTTCGAGCGCCAAATGAGAGGGCGGCTCCCGCTGAAATCTGTCCCCGGAACAGAAGCCCTGGTGTGACCCAACAGACTAATCGTGAGCCACCAATGGAAGATTTCAATGCCAAGTACTTTCAGGTATGAAGCCGTAAAATGTTTAGTCGCCATAAGAGGAAATGCGGAGAAAAATGAGGGGAGTTTGGACGAACCTTTGCCAAAGCTCTAGACTGACTAATGAAAGCTTGCTTCTCGGTGGTGAATTGACGGGCGCGTTGTTCTTTCTGTCTCAGCCGTTGGATCATCTGCGACAATCTCTCGCCCTCAAGCACCGCAACTTTCTCCAGACCCTTGCGGAAGGACTGCGAAGCGATTCAATGTTAATATATGTCCAGCTAGTGAGGCAATATTCATCGAGTCCAAACTTTTTATCAGTATCCCTTACTTTCTCGCGGGTCTCTCGATCTTTTTGAGCCTTCCGTTTCTTCTCCTCCAAGAGTTCTTTGACCCGCTCTTGAGCACGCGCGTTGGATGCCACTTGATATTCGCTCACCTTCGAACCGACGGGATAGACACGTTACGATCTCCATGTAGAGACTTGAAAAGCTGGAATCATTCGGCTGATCAAGCTTTACTTCTTACCTTGCTCCTCCACATGTCCAGCGCGGCATCCAGTTCTTTCTGATTCTTCCGAGCGACATTGATGCGACCGTGGAGTTGTTCCCTGTCGAGAAAAGTCCCTCGCATCTTTCTTTCTGCTGCGGTCGAATATATCGAAATATTGCCCTGATTCCCTTAAACGACTGCAATCTCTGGGACAGAAACGATCGCCCGAATATAAGGCTATACAGAAAACCTCGTTATAACGAGCCCGGAGATCAAGGACTGGTGGCCCGACTCCGGCTCACAATATCAACATTACATACAATTAATCTGCTCGACGATGAGGAACACCCGGCCATAACAAAGCGTTTTTTTGCGGTCCTTCGAGGGCCGTCATAAGGGGGCTTTACTGCATTGCCATGATTGCGCCTCCCGGAGTTCGTCCGTCGGGATGCGTGTGGGTCTAATTATAACCACACGGGAAATCATGAATGTCTTTCCACAAGGCTTTCCAGGCAAGTTCACAAAAGACTCAAATACGATCACGCAGGCCCTAATAGAGAAAGGGGGAGAGCCGTTCTTTCCACCCGGGCCCGCGCTTCCTTGAGGACCCCCTAGCCGGAAGTATCGTGGAGCTTTCCACTCTGCGTTCGATATTCCTCGTCTGATGTGCCTCTTATTCCTTTGCCTTCTTATCGAGAATTCTACTGAACGTACGAAGCCTTCGTCGGAATGTTCCTTTGGGCCCAAAACTTTTCTCCGTGGCCCTGTTTACGCGAATGAGTCGATTTTGATCAGGCTGAACCGTCTCGATCATTCACAGTAATGTTCGAGATGTCTGAGCTTTCAGGAAGCTTTCAAGAATCAATTTTGGCTCGAACATGATGAAATTTATGTTCTTCGCCGTCGAACACATGTCCAGGCTCTCTGAGGAATATTCAACGCTGAATGATTTCTTCCCGAGGCGCAGTGGTTTCTCCTACCCAGCACCGCGGGACAGAAAGTCGTGATGACTGATCCCATCACGTCAATCATAAATAAAACAGCTGACTGCTGTCCCGGCTGTCAACTCTGTTTCGACAATCGTCTCCAGAAGAGGGCGCTGCGCGCAGTCCTCGCCCGCGCTGACTGGTCCGCAGGCCCTAAGGTTGACTTCCACTGAGTGCTGCTGCCGCCGCTCGGACCACTATCCCTGCCGCCGCATCCGCGGCTGCTGCGGCTGCCGGAGCTGGTTCAGTTGTAAACTGCTTTCCCGACGTTGTGTTTGTGCATCGTTCGCCTCATCGTAGCGCATCTCTGATCGATTCAGGGGCTGCTCGTTGCCAGTTTGATCTGAGGTCAAGGCCTAAATGCAATCGCGACACGTTCGTTTCGAGGTGGCTCTTTGTGAGACATTAAGGGAACCGGGAAATAGTTTCCACATAACGAAGCAACCGAATCAAAGTCTACGCTCGACTCCATCGTTGAAAAAATAGGCTCAGCAGAATAAGTTGCTATTCTTCCGATTTCCGATTATTTCAAACGATGAAACTTCTCGAACGTGCCAAGTTTGAAGCTCTCAACTCGGAGCTAGAGTTGGAGTGCGGAGACTGCCGAATTCTCGGACGGTGAGTAGTTGGGAAGCTCGTACCGCTCGCCGCTCTCGGAAGCGTTAGGCTTAGCGGTTCCCGCGACGGATGAAACTTTACTTCGATGAGTCGCACGTTTCGATGCATCAAATATTATTGCGGGCATCATTCTCCAATCGTCGTGCTGTCAACGATAAGATATTTCGAAATTGTTGTCATGGCTGAGACGGATGACTCTCCGGGGAATGGACGATAGATCGGTAGGGACTCCCTATATCTCGAATAACTCCGCATTAACGTCTATCGACTCTCTCTGAATCGTGGGCACTTCCGGGTACTATCAGTGACGCAGAGAACATTCTGGGATCACCTGATTCAGTGCATCAGTCCTACGGGGAACCCTAGACTCCTTTTTTGAACTAATAGTCTACCTGCGGCAGCTCGCGATTCACAATACCCACTCGGTCAGAGGATGCTCAAGGTTATACTACTTCAACGGGGATGCGTCGAAGGGCAGGAAGACGGCCTAGGCATTAGACGCTCCGTCCTCAGAGTTGTGATCATTCCGGCGGAGAAAGGGTTCAGCTCATATGGTTGATGGGGACAGCCAGAGCTTATGTCAATGACCGGGACCGGGCTCTCTGATGACGTTCCGCACTGCTCCAATTCGGAGGCATTATCTCCGAACGCGATATATTCCCCGAAAAACACACCGAGAAAAGGAAACCGGGATTTGAATGTCTCTCTCTATGCACCTTCATCCGAATTCTTTGGGGACAAGAACAGATACCGCGGGCTAGAAATCATTGTGTGGCCACCGAGAGGTGATTCCATCGGCGAACAAACTTAGTGGCAAACGAACTTGGCTTACAGCGTTGAGAGTTACTCGTGCAAAAGTACACAGCAGGAAAAGAGGCTATTCAGGACGCTGAATGCTGACGTTGGTGTCGGACCAAACGCACTTGAAGCCCTCTCACCACCGGAGGGTCACGACGTCGTGGCTTTTTCACCTTCCTCTGCAGGCTCCGAGGACAGCCCATTGTGCGATACAATATCGAGAAAAGTCCTATTTCATTTAATAGCGACTTTGAACGCCTCGTTCGCACCGGACTACGATTTCTCTCAAGCCAGAAGTGAAGAGTTCAGCAAGGAACCAAGTTTGGAATGGGTGAGAAGGATAATCGAAACGTCTGTCAATTCTGGAAGCTGGGCGAACGCGATTGACTATCGCTTCTTCTTCCAAAAATCTCTGCTTGTCCTCAGGTGATGAACGCAGTCGACTCCCAGCTCGCGGCCAGTGCTTGCAACGTTTATCAGAGCAGGCTCCGCAACCATCTCTGGGGGACGATCGATGAGGAGATCTGTCTGAACGACTGCGTCATCTATTCGTACCGACCTGATTTCTGCTCTGATCCTTATGGCGAAGAAGGAACATTGTGGTCGTTCAACTATTTCTTCTACAATCGGCATTTGAAACGACTCGTGTTCTTCACGTGTCATGCCGCGTCTAGGTGAGTTCTCGAGGATGCCGTCTTCGAGCTATCAGCAATTCGTCGAAGGAATTCCTTTCCCAATGGAAATATGCTCCCCGTCCGATCAGAAGGATACTCAGAGTCGATTATCCTCTGTCTTCGCAGGAGCCCAAACACCAGCTTCGTTAGTAACGACGAAGACTCGATGGGAATGGAATTCGGAGTGGACGATCTCGTTGATTGCGTCCAAAGCTCATCCCAAGCCGTAGCTTACTGAAATAGTGGTCGACCGAGAGACCCGAGTTCCGAGCACCCGGATATCCCCGATGTCGGCGAGAGTCCTCTGCCTAGAGAGGGTCTCCAGCGACGGGGACATGAGAATCAGCGTTCCGTCGGAATCTCAGACCTTTCAGCTACCGCCTGCTACGATTTGCGACGGTGGGCCGCGCTTGCAACTGGTCGGAAGTATTCGTCTCATCGTGGGCGCTGGCCGCTGCCAGAGTGTTAGATTGTGGGGCGGGCTCACGATTTTCCCTCGGGGGAGGGGCCGGCAGCCTATGGTCGTTTTGGCATTAGAACGATGACGCGGCTGCTTCGGGTCCATGCCTTAGCATTAGCATCCCGACCGATAGCTCTTAGCCC